GAGCTCAGGAGTTTGAGATCAGCCTGAGCAGGAGTGAGACCCCGTCTCTACTAAAAATAGAAAAAAAAACTAGCCCAGGTGTTGTGGTGTTGTGGCAGGCATTTGCAGTCCCAGCTACTCAGGAGGCTGAGGCAGGAGGGTCACTTGACTCCAAGAGTTTCAGGTTGCTGTGAGCTATGACCACCATGGCCCTCTACCCAGGCAACAGAGTAAGACTCTGTCTCCAAAAAGATAAAATATAAAAAGATAAAAAATAAAACAACTGAGATTGTGTGTGTTTTGAATCCTGCTTGTTTTTTACTGAGCCCTTTGCCTTGAGCATCTGTGTTCGTCCAGACATTGATTTTAATACTGAATTATATGGCCAGACATTGATTTTATACGGCATTCTTTGGGTTGCTTAGCCAGTTCCCTTAGTATTGAACAAATGTGTCATTTATGGCTTCTTGCTATTACAAACAATATGTAGATGAAGATCTTTTTTTTTTTTTTTTGCTAAATTTGTTTTGTAAACTATCCTCCTGAGGACAGTGCTTTGAGGGGAGTACCCCTTCTTAGGGGTCACCAAGAGGAATTATCCACAGTCAAGGGTCAGAGAGTAAAGTTCACGTTCATCCTAGAAAAAGTGCTCCAATTCTCATTGCCGACTATCCCTACTATCACTTCCCAAGCACTTTTTCTGGGATGAGTTCACGAACTGAATTGTCAGACCTCATCCGAAAGCAGTCCTGATGACCATTTCAGAAAGAGTTCCAGGATTGCTTTGAAGAGGGGACTGGGCACTGGCATCAGGGCACAGATCCTCACGGGAATACTTCAGAGATGACCATAGGGATATGAGCAATGAGGCACGTAGCACTTTTTCTAGGACGGGTTCACAAACTTTGTTGTCCACCCTCTCAGGCACATATTGTCTGAGCAGGGCGGACATATGGGGCAGAAAAACCACTGTGCTTTTCAGATCCTCCAGGGCAAGGTCTTGCCAGCCTCTCCTTCCCTCCCAGTCTGAGTGTCTCTCCCACAGCTAACAAGTCCACACAGTGATCACAGACGGTGGCCACACCTCTGCCGTGTGTCCGCATGAAGGCAGTGTGGGGCCACCTTGACATTTGTGCTTGTCCTTGTAGAACTGCCAAATAACTGTTCAACCACCTCATATCACTTTGAGAATTAAGATGGACATAAATAAATGATCAAACCACCAACTTGCAGAGTTGTGAGGCAGAAATTCTCACCCAGGAGAATTAAGTTTTGTGTCAGTCTGCTGATAAGACCGGTCAGGTTATGCATGTGGTGAATTCCTACAACTTAGGGGAGAGGGATGCTGCCCCCAGGCTCCTGAGCAGAGGAGTCCTAAGGAGAACTTGTTTATTACATCATCAGAAATGAGCGGGCTGGGTCTGGTGTCCGGGTTTGGTGGCTGACCCTGCCGCACTGTGGTCACAAGTCTGGTGTCCGGGTTTGGTGGCTGACCTGTGTTGACCCTGCCGCACTGTGGTCATAGGTCTGGTGTCCGGGTTTGGTGGCTGACCTGTGTTGACCCTGCCGCTCTGTGGTCGTGGTTTTTCCTTCTGTAAGTCCCTTTCTGATTACACCATTCCTTGTGGGGACTAAAAAAGTCTGTCATTTTTTAGAACTTCTTTGCCCTTTCTTTCAACTAGCTGAGACTAAAATATTCTTCACAGAATCTGCTCTTTGGCACTCACATGGCTCGTTGGGGAAACCAGAATATCCACCTTGAAGTTCCAGCAACATCAGCTGAACTCTTCTTGTGTGTGTCCCGGCTCGTCCAGCATGTAGGCTGGGCATGCGAAGGTCACAGAGGGGCCCTGGCTCGTTGGCATCCGAGGGCTCCAGGAGCAGGACCTGCAGCTTGAGTGTATCTGAGGAAACGCACGTCTGTTAATACGTCGGTGCCTCAGAGTTCTGTCCAGTGTGAACCTGAGCGTCAGGAGACATGTAGATAATCAATGTGCTGTCTGAGCTAAAGGGGTGACTTGGGGTGAAGACAAGGAAGTATAAACTTTTTATGCTGCTGTATCCTCACCATATTTAAAATGAAAACACAGTACAGGCTTTTAAATGGAGATATGTTTAAAGGGAAATGATGTGCCCTGTCTCGTAGGGCAGCAGAACACATTCTCAGATTGGTAGTGCTGGCCGTCCTCTGCGGAGCTGCCCACAGACCCCTCGTGGGGCTTTACTCAGGGCTGTGTGGCAGTAGGGGACACAGGCACTGGCTGCCCTGGGCTGTGTGGCAGTAGGGGACACAGGCACTGGCTGCCCTGGGCTGTGTGGTAGTAGGGGACACAGGCACTGGCTGCCCTGGGCTGTATGGCAGTAGGGGACACAGGCGCTGGCTGCCCTGTCAGGAGATGGGTTTGGCCAGTCTGGCAGGTGTGGTGGCTTAGAGGGGCTGCTTATTGCAGGGGGATCTGCTGCTGGGACCGGCCAGATGAGAGGCGTGCAGGTGAGAAGGAGGAGGGCAGGGGTGGGGGAGAGGCAGTGCTTGCAGGGTGGGTAGGGCATCTGGACACCAGTTATTGGAACTCTGTATCTGGAGCACAGTGCGAAACAGCAGACTGGCTTAGGCACTGGGACCACTCACAGATCCAGGTGTGAATTGCTGGCTCTCCCATTTGTCAGCTGAGATCTTAGGTGTGTTCATTTCCCTCCTTAAGTTTCTATTTCCTCATCTATAACAGGGAATAGCAAACTCTCCCTGTCTCCACTGTGCGAGGCTGTGCCATCACGGGTCCAAGCAGGGGTCCTGGTGCACGTGTAGGCTCTGCCTCTGATGGGCGTCTGCGGGGTGGTGTCAGTGATGCCTGACACCTGGCTCAGTCCCAGTTCTGCCATTTACTCACTGGCTTGTACACCCTCAGATGAGTTTCTTGACCTCCATGCTCACTTTTCTGATCTATAAAATAGGAATAGTAATATTATATACTAACAGGGATGCTCTGAGGATAAAATACATGAATACAGGTAGAATGCTTAGAAAAGTACTGAGCAGGCAGTAAGTGACCTAATCACAGTTCTAACACATGAGTATTTTTATTATTCTATAGTCATTTAAAATATATATTGTAATTTTTCTTAAAAAAAAGAATGGAGAATGGCTGTCATTCTCACTCTTTGTCATCGTATAGTTGAAAAGTGAACACAGATGAAAAATATCACCAATGTGGGAAATTCAGGGTGTGGCAGAGCAGAGTGCTAGTTCCCAGATCATTACTCACTGTCCCTGTGACGTGGACAGGACTTTTATCGCTATGTTATACCTGGGAAGAAGGAGGCTAGGAAGACTGACTTCCAAGACCACACAGCCAGGAGTGGCCAGGCTGGGGGCAGCCAGGTGTGGACGAGCCGTGCGCTCGACCGTCCAGCATCAGTGCTGGCCTGGCCACTGCCCACACCAGCCTCCTCCTCCCTACAGAGCCTCCTTCCTCCATCTATCCTGTCCTGTTTTGTTTTTTGGGCCTAGAATCCTAATATTTTATTTTATATTATTTTAAAAAGTATTGTGGGCACATGTGATGTTTTGATGGAGGCACAACAATTTGAATTAATTCAGTTGTGGTAATTGGGCTGTCCATCACCTCAGGCTGGCATTGGCCTTTACAGACCATGACAATGAACAGTCTCAAAAATACCGGTGACTTCTAGGAACAGAGGAGTGTTTCTCTGTCATGCTGAATGTTCATCAGAGGTCAGCTGGGAGCTCTGCCACACGGCTCTGTGCTCTGGGACCCAGGAGTCCTGGGCAGAGCAGCCAGTCTCAAACCTTCCTGGTTGCTTTGGCAAAGAGAAAGGGAGAACAAGAGAGAGAGAGAGAGAAGGAGAGGAGAGAGCAGGAGAGGGAGAGAAGGATGCAGTCTCACACTCACACTCACACTGGTCAACGGGTCAGCATTGTATCTGCAAGTGGTGCACACACCACCTGCACATCAGAGGCTGGAGTGATGGTTTCCAATGAGGGGCCGGCCCCACCTGGGGCTATTTGCCAACATCTGGAGATGTCGTGGTTGTCATGACTCTGGGAGGAGGATAGGGTAGGGGCAGGTGCTACTGGTGTCTAGTGAGTAGAGATGAGAGAGGCGAGGGTGCTCTCGAGCCCCGAGGTGCACAGGACGCCTGTCAATACTCACACAGCAGTGGAGTGTTGGGCCCCAAACACAGCCTGGTGGGACTGAAAAACCAAGATGGGAGCTGAGCACAGGCCCAGAGGGTGCAAGGTCATGAGGCCATCAAGAAGAGGCCTGGGATACTTGGCAAGTAACACCGGTGACCACGGTGCATCCTGAGACCTAAAAGCTGATACTTCTTCAGAAGACGTCTTCCTGAGGGAGTGAACTGTGGCTTTGAGGTGCAGCTGTGGGACGGGGCTCCCGGCACGGTGGGCTGCATGGAGGGCACCAAGGCCCTGGCCTCGTTGGTGCTGACTCTGCCCTCCCTGCTGTGAAAGGGGTCTGAGAGCCCCACAATGCAGGCCACATGTTCAGTGCCAAATTCCCTAGGGTTCACATTGAGAAAGTTGACAGGAATAGGAGAATTTAATTTTAATGGTATGATTTATGTAATTCAGTAAATCTAAAGTATTATCATTTCAACATGTAATCAATATCAAAAACCAAAGTATTTTACATTCTTTTGTTTGTTTTTTGCATCAAATCTGAAATTTGTTGTGTTTTATGCTCCCAGCACTTTTCAGTTTGGACCAGCCTTATGTCAGGCGCTCCCTCGCTGCTTGTGGTGGTGGTGATGATGTTGGGCAGGGCAGCTCCAGAGGCTTCTGTTCCTGGAACTCAGTAGGAACTGACTTCAGTCTCCTCTCAGGACTGGCAGCATCACAGGGACTCAGAGCCACTCAGTCCTAAAGCAGGGCCTGACTTGCAGGAGCAACATCCTAGACTTGTGCAGACATCTGCCTGGTGCAGGGATGAAGGGCGGCGCTTGCTCCGTGTATCAGGCCTTCACCCCCTGTTTTCTCTTGGCAGGTGCCTCATCCCCAGACATGGAGCCCAGCTATGGGGGAGGTCTCTTCGACATGGTGAAGGGAGGTGCAGGGAGGCTCTTCAGTAACTTGAAGGACAACTTGAAAGACACCCTCAAAGACACGTCCTCGAGAGTCATACAGTCTGTCACCAGGTATGCACACAGACGCGTCCTCAGAGTCAGACAGTCTGTCACCAGGTGTGCACACAGACAGCGTCCTCAGAGTCACACAGTTTGTCATCAGGTGTGCACAGATGTGCCCTCAGAGTCATATAGTCTGTCACCAGGTGTGCACAGACACGTCATCAGAGTGACACAGTCTGTCACCAGGTGTGCACAGACACATCCTCACAGTCACACAGTCTGTCACCAGGTGTGTACAGACGCGTCCTCAGAGTCACACAGTCTGTCACCAGGTGTGCACAGACGTGTCCTCAGAGTTAGACAGTCTGTCACCAGGTGTGTACAGACGTGTCCTCACAGTCACACAGTCTGTCACCAGGTGTGCATAGACACATCCTCACAGTCACACAGTCTGTTACCAGGTGTGCACAGAGACACGTCCTTGGAGTCATACAGTCTGTCACCAGGTGTGCACAGAGACACGTCCTCGGAGTCCCACAGTCTGTATCCAGGTATTCACACCTTTCCTGCCTGAGTTAGTGGGCTTCATGCCCTGGAAGGGTCTGGTTACCTGCCTAGTGCTCATGTGGTCTAAGAATCAGTGTTGTGACATAATTGCATAAGTTCTGACAGCTCAGCACTGTCAGGACAGCCCTCGAGTGGAGTCCATTGGCAGGACCCAGCTCACTACTGCAGGAGAGGGCCATGCCTGCTCTCCCTGGGTATAGAATCAAACATCCTGGGTTCTAACACAAAATCCGCCCTTGTTAACTTCGTGGCCTACAGCATGTTAATTAGCTTCTCTGAGTTTTAATTTTATATGTGACAGGGTTTGTGTCTTTGGGTGGATCAAAGAGTAATGAGGTAGCGATGCAGGTGGGGTGTCAGGAAGCACTACCTGTGGCTTAGGGTGAGAGCAGAATGCTGTTTTTCAACTTACCAGCCCTTTAGAATTTATTTAGTGGGAGAAGTTTTCTGTGCTTTCACTGTATGAACATTCCTAAAAGCAGGCGATATGAATTATTTTTTATTCTTGGATATTAGAAAATCTGGGGTCACTTTAATTTACAATATCCTATTCTAAATCATGAATTCAAATGTCACGTCTGACATGTTGATCAAATCTCATCTTGGATTTCCACCCAGGGCCTGCTGGTGGCAGAATGGGGTTGGTTATTTTTTCTCAATCTCTTCTTCCTGGCCCCTTAGCCATTTACAATTATGGGAGATATTTCCGTGTAGGCAAAACATTGGGAACTGGGAGGTGCCTGTGGCTCAGTGGGTAGGGCGCCGGCCCCATATACTGAGGGTGGCGGGTTCAAACCCAGCCTTAGCCAAACTACAACAACAACAACAACAAAAAAATAACTGGGCATTGTGGCGGGCACCTATAGTCCCAGCTACTTGGGAAGCTGAGGCAAGAGAATCATCTAAGCCCAGGAGTTGGAGGTTGCTGTGAGCTGTCTGATGCCACAGCACTACCGAGGGTGACAAAGTGAGACTCTGTCTCTACAAACCAAACCAAACAAAAACCTTGGGAACTATCAGTGTTAAAAATAAGCAGTGTTTGGGTGATAGAGTAAGGTGTACCTGCCGCACCCAGGCAGGATCAGCTCATGTCCCCCCAGGAAATAGGAATGCCGCCAACTGCTGCCCTCCCTGACCTTTAAGTCTCCATCCCTATAACCCACATGTGGATTCCTATCTTGATTCACCCCACCTGCATCCAGGTAGAAGTAAAGACTACATGATTTCTATAGGACAGGGATTCCATTTTCTTTTGTTTTGCAATCTTTCTTCATTGGGAAGAGCAATTCTTTCCATGAAGTGACCTCTGCAAGGGCAGTGGGATGCAGTGTGCAGATGTGCATTTAGTCTTGGAGCCCATGGGTCGTCCCCTCTCAGTGATGAGTCCTTTCAGAGTGAAAGGTGGAGGCAGCAAATTTACCTGCCAGCAAGAAGTGTCCCTGTCATGACTTGTAGGTGAGGGAGAGAGCTGGCTGCCCACCAGGCCAGTGAGGAGTGTCCCTGTGAGACATGCAGGTGAGGGCGAGAGCCGGCTGGAATGTTTGGACCATTTTATTGAATGCTCTTTTTTGTCTTGATTTTAGCTACACCAAGGGAGATTTAGACTTTACTTACGTTACCTCCAGAATTATTGGTAAGCATCTCCCTTTTATGTTAACTCTTCTTTGGTTCAACTTTCAACTGCTGCCCCCTGCAGCTGCTGTCCTGTCTGACCGCTGTCTCTGTGTGGCCTCTCCTAGTGATGTCCTTCCCACTGGACAGTGTCGACATAGGATTCCGGAATCAGGTCGACGACATTCGGAGCTTTCTGGATTCCAGACATCTTGACCACTACACAGTGTACAATCTGTCACCCAAATCTTACCGAACTGCCAAGTTTCACAGCCGGGTAAGGAGCTGATTCCTGGGTAGCCCTGGGACCGCGTGGTGGAAGGTCTAACAGCTTTTCCCCACCTACGGAAGATCCTCTGAGCTTTTCCCTGAGGCTTGTGAAGCTAAGAAAACCTTAAACTCTGGACACTTCTATGCACAGAGTATTTATTAGGCTGTTAGGGGATATTCTGAAGGTTTTCCTGGGTGAGGACATTTATAGGAAAATGTGTCTGAAACACCAAGGAGTTGGGGTCTCAGGGCTGTTGTTGGCTGGCAGCTCCTGGGCACAGATTCCTGAGGCTCAAGCTCGATGAGACGCTACCTAGGGCAGCTGGCTAACCTAATACCCTGGCACAGGCATGCCTCCAACCTTCTCCTTCTGTCACTGGAGCATCCAGACGGGGCAGGGCTGAGGAGACTGGTACAGGAACACTGGTATTAAGGGAAATATACTTCTGACGTTCAGTATCTGGGCCTCTGTCCTCGGTGGGGGCCTGAGCAGTGCACACTGCAGCTTTGGTGACACCGTCCCTCCTATCTGATATCAACCCTGATATTTGCAGCCACTCAATTCTTGGCTTTTTCTAAATTCAGGCTTTTTTTTTTCTCTTAAGAGTATTTTTAGATATTTTTAATGTAGTCTTTAGATATAATTGACTTGCAGCTCTATCTGGGCCTGTCAGTAAACAGGACTTTCTACCCTGTTTGAAGGTGGCCCCTTTGAAGGTGAAACTTGGTTTCACTTGTGCAGAACGGTGCCAGTGGCAGTGAGTGAGCTGTATCTGGGTTCAGCTTTGACACTGGGGCATCTGCTCTGAAGTCCATTCCTGTTGGTGATCGCTGAGCCACAGTGTGGAGATCTGCAGGACACACGGGAAGGTGGCCTGTGTGCTCGGAGCCCCTTCCTGCCCACACTCCACGTGCTATGGGAGATGAGGTTAGAGGCTGCCTGTTTAGCCTGTTCTCAGAGCAGCCTCAGATTTTCATGTGGGTGGGAATCATCTGCCGGGCTTGTGATTCAGCAGGACGGGGAAGGAGGGGACCCCACTTCTCCTTCACCTTTCTGGGGGCTGCTGCTACTGCTGTGGGCACTACTTTTTCAGAGGTGCTGGTAAACCGTCCTGAGGCGGCTTGATCTAAATTGCCACTCTGTAATGGAAACTTTAAATGCAGCTCCTTAAAATCCACTGTAATAAACTGATCTTCTGACTCTTATTCCATCTATTACCTAGTTCAGAGCAAGTGAATTAACATCAAACAAGAATGTGGATTTTTTTTTTTTGCTAACTCAATGCAAATCTTTTGAATTGATTTCTCTTGTTTGAAGACTGAGGCAGTGCCATGATTTGCATGACTGAAGGACTCAGAAATATCCTGTACAATGTTGTATGGAAGTTTTATTTGATCTTGAAAGATCTGTGGTACTCTGAAACATTTTTCCTCTGAAAGTAAAGATATAATATCATTGTAGAAGCATTCATACATATGATAATGTTTCTTTGTAAAGTGTTTATAAAAAACAATTTCTATAAAGATATTTTAAAGTTATTGGTGTAACTGAAGGTTTTGTGATTGGACTTAATGCTTTATCAAAGGAATCAGGAATTGCATGTGGAACGTTCACCCAGGCTGCTCTCAAGTCTCCTTGAAGAGCAGAAATGTGTTTATTTTATTTGATTCCTAGGACAGAGCCCAGCATGGCTAACCACGTTTCTTAAAAGCATAAATATACCAAGAATTGTTGAACACTATTGATGTAAAATAAATGTTTGGCTTGTGTTCTCAAGGTACTTAAGCCTGGTTGGGGAGGGTACCCCCTGCATTTTAGGGGTGAATACAAATTATTATCAACACCTGCTGAGGGGAGCAGTAAAGGGAATAGTTGAGAGTCAAAGCCAGCGTGAGGCTGGCTGGAAGTGAAAGGCAGGGGTCGTTTCTCATCTGCAGATGGTAGAATGTGACCTGTGAGGCTCCTCGGGACTGTCCTCTGCCTGCTGCTCTGGCTTCATCTGCTCCTGTCTTCATTGCCCAAGACCCCAGCTGCCACCAGGGATGCACCCCCACATCCTGCCCCCTGACCCTCCCACCCTGACCCCTGCCCCTACCCCTACCCCCACCCCTGACCCTCCCATCCCACCCCTGACCTCCCACCCTACCTCTGACCCCCACCCCTGAGCCCCCTCCACCCCGACCTCTGACCCTCACCCCTACCTTGCCTTCACATGCCATCTCCTATCTCAGCTTCTCCCTAGAAAGCCCCACACCCTCTGGCCCCTTCTCTGTTAGCCAGACATTGCTGAGGAGAGGATTTCCACCTACACAGGCTTTTCCATTTCCTTCCCCTGAAACAAAATATTGCACTTCACCCCTGGCCCTTCCCAGGTCACCCCAGAATTTGGCAGAATGGACCTGAGTCCTCTGACACATCCCCCTCAACCCCCTTCCTTTCCAGAAGGGCCCACAGCTGTATGTCTCATGTCAGCCTGGTCTGATGTGGCCTCAGCTCTTTGTGACCCTGAGGCCTTTCTCTCTGGGACGCTCACACTGTGAGTCCTTCTGCAGTCACTGGTGCAGGATTAGAAGCAGTACCACCTTCCAGTCCAGGAGGACAGCAAGCACTCCTTCCTTCTCCATTTAGCGGTGTGCTGGGCCTGCACTCAGCCTGACTTTGATAGATGTGGAGGGCAGAGTCTTCCACCAGTGCTGGTGTTGGTGAGGACCAGACGTGGGACTTGTTTACTTACAGATGAGCGAGCGTCTGGCTCTGTCTGCAGTGTGCATTTCTGGACTGGAAATCTGAGCTCTGTCACTTTATGTTTTATGTCATTGTTGGCTTATTTGGGGATGTTGGTGGGTAGTGGTGGCAGAGACAGGCTGTGTCCAGGAAGATTTACTTTGCTGAGAGTCATTCTGGGTTTTGATTAGCATTTGTGTTTAGAAGCCACTCTGGGTGACACGTTCCCCAGAGTTTGCAGAGGAGGCTAAGATGGGCTGTGTGTGGTCTCAGCACAGCAGAGATGTCGCCTCACCACAGTGAGGTCCACAAGAGCTGCGGGGGTGTTAGCCTCAGGTTTCCGGCTTTTCACAGCCAGAGTCCCCCATGAGGAAGTAACAGTATGGTGCTGACATTGATGTCCTGGTCACCAGGTACAGTGTCTGAGTCATGCTTTCTTAGCCTGCATTTAGGGCTGTGTGATGAGATCCGGGGGGGTTTGGGGAGTTTAGCCCTCTGCTTCCTCTCCTGTCACAGATGCCTATGGTTAAAACACACATAACACGAGCATCATTTTAACCGCTTGTAAGTGTGCAATTCAGTGACAATCATACTCATGGAGCTGTGTGACCATCACACTGTCCACACCCAGACCTTCTCATTGTCCCCCCCCCACACCCTCTCTGAGTGTGCGTGGCATGTGTGGTATGTGTGGCATGTGTGTGGTGTGTACATGACGTGTGTATAGAGTGTGGTATGTGTGGCATGTGTGTGGTGTGTACATGATGTGTGTGTAGAGTGTGGTATGTGTGGCATGTGCATGGCATGTGTGTGGTTGTGTGTGGCCTGTGTGTGACATGTGCATGGTGTGTTTAGAGTGTGGTGTGTGGGCCTGGCATGGGTGTGGTGGGTGCATGGCATGTATGGGGTGTGGGCCTGGTGTGTCTGTGGCATGTCTGTGGCGTGTCTGTGGCATGTGTGTGCTGTGTATGCAGCATGTTCCTGGAACCCTGGAGAGCTGTGAAAACAGCCTGCTCTGATAAATTCTTCTTTAGGTTTATTTATTTTTTTTTGGTTTTGTTTATGCTTTCATGTTTTCCCCTTTTAGACAGAGCACATGCTTTTTAAAAAATTCTAATTATATGTTTGCTTAATGGTGTATAATTATCAAGTAAATGTATAATTATGGAGTCCTTTAAATTAATATTATTTACGTGATTGATTTAATGATTCTGGAGCTATTATCCTATTGTGATAAGAATAATTTAGCCAACTTTTAGCTGAGAGTCATTACAGATATTGACATTTAGGGTGTGTGTGGATAATACACACACAGTTTTTAAAATCTTGAAAAATATTGCCAGGGGAAACAAATTTCCTATGCTTTTACTCTGCTGGAATCTGAAACACCAACAAAATTGACACACCTGTTCCTTCCTCAAGATATTGTGCATGTAGACAGATCTCCTCATGAAAAGAGGTTGCCCAGTGCGGTTTGTAGCTTTATTCTTTTGCTCTTTCGTTAGCTCAGCAGATGCTCGTAAGCACCTGCCACTGGGCAATAGAGTGAATCAGTTATGATCTGTCTTCTCATAAACTCGCTGTCTGGACAGAGGGACAGATCTAACAGTGGATTTAGTGCAGCTCACTGAGAAGGTGGCACTCACTGTGGTTATGTGGTGCTCCTGGGTTCTTACACCACTTCTGTGAGGCCCATTTATACTTTATACATGAGAGAATGAGGTTTGGAGCAGAAGCCTAAAAGTTTATTGGAATTTGGGATGTGGCCCTGACCATGTTGCTTTACTGATAAAAGTTGTAATAGATAAAAATGGACGTGGCCAAGAGTGCAAAGATGACCAAGTATTTTTGTCTTTGGATATCAGAGAAATGGTCAGAGACAAGAGCACTTGACCAGGGTTTTGAAGGATGAATAGAAGTTTACCAAGGGAAGAAAAAAACAATGCAGACAGTACTCAGCTTCTACAAACGTACATTTTGTGATTCCTCGAACAGCAAATTTTATCTTCCATGTCATTTTATATATTTAGTCAACGTATCATTTCCATTTCATTGAGAGCACATCAATAAGAAATATGTCTGGGGATAAAGATTAGGCCAGAAATATCTCTGAATCGAGTTGGATAAAAGGGGAAGGCATCCTAGACAGATGCCCAGGGCAGATGCCCAGGACAGATGCCCAGGATGGATGCCCAGGGCTGGGTCACCTATGTTGTTGAGTAGCTACGCCAAACACATAAGACTGTTTAATGATCCAGACCTGTCACAGTCCCCAAGATCTGTCAAAATGGGTAACCTGGAGGTCCCCTGGTGCCCTGTCCCCACAATCTTCTACATGACTGTTGCATGAATCAGGGCCAAGCGGTATTCCTAGGACATGGCTGGTGCCCCACGGTGTGTTAAGTGAACGTGTGTGTAAAGGAATGGCAATGCTGAAGGTTGCCCTGTGAACTGTGTCCCTTCCTTGAAAGTGGAACAAGCAAGACCCACGCCTGAGTCTGCCTTTGCGTCACACAGCGTGACTTCCTGTGTCATCGTGAGAGCTGGGATAAAATAAGGGATAGTGCAAGGTTTGTAATCCTATAATTAAGGATGTATTAAGGAGATCAAAGTATTTTATGCTTAGTAGAAATTAAATTACATATAACCTCATAGAATAGAAAGAATCCAAGTATGTAGTTGAAATGGTCTAATTTAAAGTCTATTTCAAAACCTGTTTTCATACCTTCACTGAAACAGAATTCTTTACTTAAAAAAATTGTTGTGTTAAACACTTCTTCTTTTTACAGTGGACTCTGCTCCCAACTCTCCCTGGCTGTACTGAAAGGATATGTCGCTTTCAGAAGAAATCGTCCACTGTGGTGCCTGCTTGTGAAGGGACGTGGCTGGGAGGATTCATTTCCTTTTGCTGTGTTCCCGCAGGTCTCAGAGTGCAGCTGGCCCATCAGACAGGCCCCGAGTCTGCACAACCTCTTTGCCGTGTGTCGGAATATGTATAACTGGCTGCTTCAGAATCCCAAAAATGTCTGTGTCGTCCACTGCTTGGTGAGTAGCCTTTTTTGTTGACGGCCACGTGTGGGTGCCCTGTGCAGAATGGGGCAGGTCGTGTTTGGGCTCAGCAGGACTCGCTGAGCCCACACTCCACCGGTGTTCACTGTTCTGGGCTGAGAGCTTGAGCACAGTGAGAGGGACAGATGTGCATACATCCCACGCAGGGTGGGGACTCCAGAACGTGGCGTCATAAAAGGCACAGGAGTCGGAGTGGTGGCTGCACAGGGACAATTCCACGAGTTCCGCGTGAACAAAACTGAAGTAAATATATTGGCGTGTTTGTTTTTTGAATTAAAAGAAAAAGACAATGATGCCCTTATAAGAGGTCATATATCTATTCTGAGCAGTTAGTGGTGGGACTGGCCGCTGACCCCTGCGAGTCCCTCCCAGCCCTCCTCACATCGTGGTGTGTGTGTGCGTTTTCCTTTTTGCTATAATATTACTTAATGATTCCACCAGCCTTTTCTTGAGAACTAGTTGGTAAAAACAGGGAAGAAGTTGAAGTACATTTTTATTTCTTTCCACGTTATACCCCCAAACTCTTAGCAATAAAGGAAAACCACTTGGTATTTATAGGAATTTATTGTTAAGACAAGCAGCTTTCTTTTCTGAGTCACAACAGATTGTGTAGCAGAGCAGAGCACTTCAGGGACTCAGCAGCCTTGAGCACCTCGGTGGTTTTCTCTTCATTCAAAAATGTTTTAAATGTTCAGGGAGCCTATCCTATGCCTGATGGCCATGTAAGGAAGACAGCCTGATAGAGACCTATAATGACCTAGTCACAAGGAATAAAAATCTAGCAAAGAAGAGGAAATAAAGAAGCAAATGGAGGATTATGGTTCCACAAAGCACAAGCTCCATAGGCTCACGAGGACCAGCATAGCGGACGTGTACGCCACGCCTTTGGGAAGCGGGATGGAAGCTGGGGGCAGGGGCTCTTATCAGTGTATCTTAATATACTACTAGGTTACGAAAAATAAAAAGCATGTACTAGTCTGAGACACTGTCTCACTCTGTTGCCCTCAGTAGAGTGTTGTGGCATCACAGCTCACAGCAACCTCAAACTCCTGGGCTCAAGTGATCCTCCTGCCTCACCCTCCCAAGTTGCTGAAACTATAGGTGCCCACCACAATGCCTGGCTAGATTTTTTTTTTTTGCAGTTTTTGTCCGGGGCTGGGTTTGAACCCACCACCTCCGACATATGGAGCTGGTGCCCTACTCCTTTGAGCCACAGGCACTGCCCTTTTTTTTTTCTTTCTATTTTTGGTAGAGACAGGCATTTCGCTCTTGCTTAGGCTGGTCTCAAACTCCTGAGCTCAAGCAATCCACCCGCCTTGGCCTCCCAGAGTACTGGGATTACAGGTATGAGCCACCCTACCCAACCCCAAAATGAAACTTTAAAAAAGATCTGCATGACAGAGAAAAGGAGAGGACACATATTTAAGAGGCACGGATCTGTTAAAAGCAAGTGAGGAAGCCTAAATTCAAAAAAGAATTAAGATTAAGAAAAATATCTTTTAAAGAAAATGATGTTTGGACTATGGATGACAACAAAGTCTCGAGGAAGATAGTATAATTTTTCCTCCTTATTCTGTTTCCTTTATCAGAAGGAATAGTGTCAAGCCAGAGAGGGTGTAAACAGGATAATTTAGACAGAATGAGATGGCATGGCACCCCCATGGCCTTAAAATTAATTCATTCTCTAGACGTAACTTGGGTGACAGGTGCCTCCAGCACTGGAAGGAGCCTTTATGGATTTGCTGTTTACTCTGAAAAAATGGGAAGAAGAGGAGCTGAGCAAATGAAGGGAGGAGAAACCCGAGCTGGACGGGGTTGGTCCTGGGAAGTCGTAGGCTGCTGAGGCTCATGGTAATTCAAGGCAAAACTCTAGCAAATTTTTGCACAAATTATTTTAAACTCTTAGGAAAAAACAGAGTCCCTACTGGTTCACTGTGAATGTACACATCAAACCAGCAGAACATTTCCCAACAGGCCTGACGGGTGGTGGAGACAGACTGCGGGAGTCCTGGAAGGTATTTCTCAGTGGCTTGTGGTCAGGATGGAGAAATTTGAGCTGGGTTATTCATACACTTGGTTGAGTTATGGCTGCCTGTCTGCTTCTAAAGATAGGCGATTAATGGATCAGCCTGCTGGGGGAAGGTTTAACTTAGTTGCCCTTTAATCAACAACTTTGACGAAGATGTGGCATCAAGCTTGTCAGCGCTCTTGGGCGCATATGGATTTAAAGAGTTCTTGTAGGCTGTCATTTAATAAAAACTAACAGTGTGAAATTAAATGCAAGATAAACATAAAGTCCTGAATTCTGATTCTAAAAGATTAAACATATTTGTCTCTTAGCTTAATAGATCCTCTGGGGGGAAAAAAAAATCTCAGGGTTTTGGTGGGTAGAGACATGAGTAAGAGGTTACGGAGTGATCTGGCTGCGTGCATGCTAGTTTGGGCCGGGGTTATATTAACAAAAGCACCGTCCAGACTAAGGGAATGGGATTTCCTCTCTAGTCTGGTCAGAATGCATCACTGTCCACATCTTGGCACACGCGCAAGGTGGATGTTTTAAAACTGAGTCAGTTTAGAAGAAGTGCGCTAAGTGTTATCTGTTAAAACGGGCCATCAAATGAGGAAGAACCGAGGGGACTGAGTTTGTTTTAAATGGAAAATAGAAGTGTTGATACAAAGGAGGGTCTTTCATGTATGTGAAGGGTTGGCACCAGGAGGCAGGAATAGGTTCATTTTTTATTCTCGTATAAGGAAGAATGAGGGCTATTAAGGGAAGTGATGGAGGAGCAGGATTCAACTCTGCTGTTCAGTGCAGGGAAGAGGCTCAGACAGCACCTCGAGCACCAGTGATCTCCGCGTCACTGGGAGTGTCCTGGAAGAGCAGGATCACTCTGTTAGGAGTGCTCTTGGACGCTGTCTGTTCTTAATCTGCTTTAACAAAACGCCGTAGCATGGGCAGCTTAAACAGCAGAGATTCTTTTTTTTATTTTAATTAAATCATAACTGTATACATCAATGCATTTATGGGGTACAATGTGCTGATTTTATATACAATTTGGAATGCTTACATCAAACTGGTTAGCATAGCCTTCACCTCCCTTAATTATTGTGTTAAGACATTTATACTCTACTCATAATAGTTCTGACATGTACCCTTGCAGTATACACCATCATTCCTCCCTGTTCTGAAGGCTAGAAGTCCAGATTGAGGCATTTGTAGATGTGGTGCCTCGGGAGGGCTGCGTCCTGGTTGCCTTGTCTGGTCCTTACATAGCCCACAAGCAGAAGAAGGTGAGAGCTCTCCAGGCCCTTCTACAAGAGGCCTACCTGCGTTCATGAGAGCTCCACTCATGACCTACTCATCTCCCCCAATACCTGCCTCCTGATACCCTCACACTGAGGTTAGGGTTCCAACATATGAATATTGGGGACATAAACATTTAGTTCATAACAGATTTATCCCTACACTGAATAAGGCTGAATCAGGTGAAACTTTCTCTCTTTTTTTTTTTTTTTTGAGAAAGGGTCTCACTTTGTTGCTCAGGCTGGAGTGCAACCTTGAACTCCTAGACTCAAGTAATTCTCCTGTTTCAGCCTCCTGAGTAGTTAGGATGATGTTCACACACCACCACACCTGGCTAATCTTTAAGTTTTTATAGAGACTGGGTCTTGTTGCCTGGGCTGGTTTTGAACTCCTGGTCTGAAGCCATCCTTCTGGCTCTGCCTCCCAACGTGCTGTGGGTACAGGTGTGAGCCACTGCACCTGGCACAACTCCTTTATTTGATATGACTCTAGGAACCTGCTTTGGGAAAAACACAGAACATATCCTCACCTGTGAGGTCTTTACTTCCGGTCCTAACCCGGGAAATCTCAGCTATTGTTTTTGGTGCTGCAAGTTCAAAGTTACTTTGAAGATTACGTAATTTTTATGCATATATGCAAATCAAATTTACTGGGCTTCATAGGTTCACACAGTCAGTTTTATCCTAATAATAAGTCTTTGCTTGTTGCTTTGTGATTTATGTAGCTGGAACAGATTCTGGGTTCACAAGAATCCACAGTCTTGAGGTGAAAGGCACCCTCCTAGTTAGAGGGTCTCTCCTCTTTCCCTGATTGCGCTTAGAGCCATTGTCAGTGGAGAACGCCAGTTTGATCACGCTCAGGATGGGTTTCTGCACTTTCTTCGACAGGACGGACGGGCTGCATCGTCAATTCTGGTTGGTGCTATGTTCATTTTCTGTAATCTCTACTCCACTCCTGGCCCAGCGATTCGATTGCTGTATGCAAAGCGACCAGGAATTGGACTCTCGCCTTCCCACAGGAGGTAAAGTGATCAGAGCAGACACTGGTTTCTGTCGTGCACTGCTAGAAATCTGCCTTGGAGATGATTTCATGATTTTCTTTTAACTTGTCTGGCATTATCCTGAACTATGGGGGGAAAATTGAACTGACTAGGACCTGGGGTTTTTATACAGTTTCATGAGCCCCCGTATGAGAACCTGTGGTTTTGAAATTATAAGGAAACTTTGAAGAAGACTTAGTTCTACCTCCCTCACTTCACAGGTGAGGAAACTGAGACGTGGACAGGGCGTGATTTGCCCCCAAATTCCCCGTGACATAGCCGGGACATCATCCTTAACCCTCACCACTAAGACTAGTCCCTTTCTGTTCCCCTGGACAGGGCTTTATTGAAACACAGACAGAAGACGATTACACGTGCCAGGCATGTCTGCCCTGTAGGAGGCGTAATTAATAAGAAGAAATGAAAGCATGTAGAAAGAATGAATGAAGAGTTTTAAAATCCACTCTTCTTACTCATAGGAAAAAGGAAACAGATTCTGAAAGATAATCTGAGAAGTGGCCTTAATAAAGAAAATCTTTTTAGATAATTTTTAAATTTGCTTTCCTTTAGTCACAATTTCTTCCTTTTCTTTTTTTTTCTTTTACAAAAGTTTATTTTTTAAAAAAGCTAAAGAAAGACAAAAAAAAAAAGAAGCATGTGGGAAGGCTAGGAAAGGCAATGTTTGAGGCTGGATGCTGCACTGGGTATTCCCCGCGCCGGAATCTGTTGCTGCACCCTGCACTCTGCACTCTGGGGCCCATGGGCAGTCCCACTCACCTTCACACGTCGGGATCTGACTCAGTAGGCTTTAATCATTTGTTGGATAAATGCTAAGTGTCAAAAGCTGCTGCTGAATGGCAACAGCCAGGCCAGGGAGCAGAACCCTGAGGTGGAGGGCGGTTGGTTCTGGAGCTGGGCTTCCCTGGTCCACGTCTGCTCTGCATCTCACTGTGTGAGCTCTGGCAAGCTGCTTCCTTCTCTTGTCCTCAGTCTCTTGGCCAGGAACACAGGGTAGTACCTGACCTCAAAGGTTGTCAGGCTGAGAGAAGGAACGTCCAGAGTGGAGAGCAGTGCGTCCCTCACTGCTGCTGTGTTGATACTGGCAGCCAATTATTTTCCCCTAGAACTCATAATAAGACAAATATGGATGACTCTGAAGGGCAATCACTCATGGGTTAGGTGATATTTAAAATAAATTAGAAAGAGAATTAAAATAAAGACAATCATTTTAGAGACAGAATCCTTGACCCAGAAGGTACAGATTTTCTCTCCTGATGAAGCAGGAAGTCTTTAAAACATGAGAAGGGATGAAATGGAACTGGTTTACTCTAACTGTCTGGAAATGCTCAGTGGTGCAGCATTAACTTTTCTCTTACTGATTTCTTTAGAAAAAGGAAACTTACTCTATCACAAACTTTTAGAGAACTGACTTACCTAGTCCCACCCCTTCTGTCAGACACAGCTTGTGTGCACAGGATAAACTTATTTTTTTTCACTGAAATGTGTGGTAATATCAATTTAGATGAGATTAGGGTTCTATGATGGGACCAAAAAGCATAACAGAATCTTAATATTATCTTAGGAGGTAACTGTAACCAGTGACAGAGAAATGGCACCATACATTTTTATTACCCTTTTTACTGGAGAAATTTATGTTTAAACCACTGAAGGAATTTGAGGTATAAAGCAACAAGGGCCTGTGTCACTCTTGGTGGAAATCTTTCTTCTGGTCTTTAACTGCTTGTGGTGGGTAAAGGTGAGACCGCTCTGGTATCGTGACACTGAGTGAAAAATGCCCTTCCTGAATTTTATTCAAACTGCACCATGGTACAGTGTTCAAAATAGGACCTCCCGTTTTCAGTTTTCCTACACATTTTCAAATTAAGCATAATTGCCTTTGAAGGAAGGCTTGATTCCCAAACTTCATATGCAATTATGGGGGAGAATCCATATATATATATATATATATGCAGTTTTTGGCTGGGGCTGCGTTCGAAGGCTCCACCTCCAGTATATGGGGCTGGTGCCCTACTCCTTGAGCAACAGGCGCTGCCAAATATCTATTTTTTTTTTAACACAAAAGACTTGATTCTTTAAACTCCAGTCTTCTACCACATGACTTCCCAAGGACACCAACCTAAGGGTCCACCAGCCCTTCAGAATCTCGTTGGGTTTGTTTCATTGTGTTGCTCAGGCTGGTCCTGAATTCCAGGCTCAGCAATCTCCCCTCCTCAGATTCCCAGTAGGTAGGATCCTTGGGATACTGCCACACTGAGCCTGGATCATGTGGGTACTGTCACACTCAGCCTGGGATCATGTGGGTACTGTCACACTCAGCCTGGATCATGGGGGTACTGCCACACTCAGCCTGGATCATGGGGTACTGCCACACTCAGCCTGGGATCATGTGGGTACTGTCACACTCAGCCTGGATCATGTGGGTACTGCCACACTCAGCCTGGGATCATATGGGTACTGTCACACTCAGCCTGGATCATGTGGGTACTGCCACACTCAGCTTGGGATCATGGGGTACTGCCACACTCAGCCTGGATCATGTGGGTACTGCCACATTCAGCCTGGATCATGGGGGTACTGCCACACTCAGCCTGGGATCACGGGGGTACTGCCACACTCAGCCTGGATCATGTGGGTACTGCCACACTCAGCCTGGATCATGGGGTTACTGCCACACTCAGCCTGGGATCATGGGGGTACTGCCACACTCAGCCTGGATTGTGGGGGTACTGCCACACTCAGCCTGGATCATGTGGATACTGCCACACTCAGCCTGGATCATGTGGGTACTACCACACTCAGCCTGGATCATGTGGGTACTGTCACACTCAGCCTGGATCATGTGGGTACTGTCACACTCAGCCTGGATCATGGGGGTACTGTCACATTCAGCCTGGGATCATGGGGGTACTGCCACACTCAGCCTGAATCATATGGGTACTGCCACACTCAGCCTGGGATCATGTCGGTACTGCCACACTCAGCCTGGGATCATGGGGGTACTGCCACACTCAGCCTGGGATCATGTCGGTACTGCCACACTCAGCCTGGGATCATGTCGGTACTGCCACACTCAGCCCTTTTTCTTATCTAAATTATAATATCTCACTTTTTTGAATTAAAAGTGTTTCTGATGAGAAGATTCTAGGATGTATCCAAGGTCAGGTTTTATGTGATAGATTTAGCCTCCTAGATAAAACAGGAATAAATATTCAAATATTGAGCTGGGGTAAAATTCCCATCAGCTTTTTGATTTAATAAATATACCCATTATCAGTTCTCTGGGGAAGTACAGCAACCTCAGTGGATAAAATCTTTCTGAAATTATTGACTGCATTCTCTTTTGCTAGCCAGTATTTGAGAAATTAACAGGGTAAATTTATACTGTAACCTAATGGTTTATATGAACAAACCGTCACTGTCTTTATCGCAAAGATTGCTCTTTCTCTGCGTGCTGTGGCCCCAACCGGCTGGCAACCTTCTGTTCCAGGTACCTGGGCTACATGTGTGACCTGCTCACGGACAAGCCCTACCACCCTCACTTCAAGCCTCTCACTATCAAGTCCATCACTGTCAGCCCAATACCGTTTTTCAACAAACAGAGAAATGGATGTCGCCCTTACTGTGATGTACTGATTGGAGAAACCAAGATCTATACAACCTGTGTGGATTTTGAGCGGATGAAGTAAGTCAGGACATTTTCCTTCACTTCTGGTGCACAGGCACTTCCTGGGTCATTTAGTCTTCTTCCGGCAAGACTGTGGCACTGAGAAATGGCTGATGTATCTGGGGGTGCTGAAAAGTGTATGCTCATGTAAAAGAAGTAAAATCAACCATTCCCCCAAAGTGTATAATCGCAGGGAAGATGAATGTGGCAGCTTGTCTAGGTACACTTGACCACTAATGGAACCTTCAGTGCAACTTCGAAAGGTAAAACAGAGATACTATCACTTAAAATGTGCATACATTTTTTTGGCATCCTCTGATAATCATAGAAAAATACAACTAAATCTCCCACAGCTCCTTTTCAAGTCAATTGGTCATATAGACTGAGGGACATTTGGACTTTGCCACTTTTTGATTGTCAGGAATAATGTTGCATGTAATTATATTTTAATTCATGAAGTATCTGCTAAGTATGAGAGGTAAGACAGTGGTAGGGCTCAAAGGACCTGATCTTTAAAGGTGGAGATGGGTGCATGGTTGGTGATGAGTGAGGTTTCGAGCAAGCAGCTGCGGAGATGGCAGTGTTGTTAGAGAAGGTGCGGAGTCCATGGTAAAGAGCAGTGCCGGGGAGGCGGTGGGTGTGCAGAGAGAGCAGTGCCGGGGAGACGGTGGGTGTGCAGAGAGAGCAGTGCCGGGGAGGCGGTGGGTGTGCAGAGAGAGCAGTGCCAGGGAGGCGGTGGGTGTGCAGAGAGAGCAGTGCCGGGGAGGCGGTGGGTGTGCAGAGAGAGCAGTGCCTGGGAGACGGTGGGTGTGCAGAGAGAGCAGTGCCGGGGAGGCGGTGGATGTGCAGAGAAAGCAGTGTGTGTGACCCAGTGTGGAACTAGTTGGAACAGATTGAGATTGAGGATGGCATCTACGACCCTCAGCATGTTTCTGTTTCTCTACTGATCTTGACTGGATTTGTTTTTATTCCCTTCACCTCTACTTTTACTAATTTTTAAAATTCTTTTTTGGAGGGGGGCATAATCTCACTCTGTCACCCTTGGTAGACAGCTCATCGCAACCTGAAACTCTTAAGCTCAAGTGATTCTCCTTGATCACTACAAGTGCCCCCACAATGCCCAGCTATGTTTAGAGACAAGGTCTCGCTTGGGCTCAGGCTGGTCTTGAACTTGTGAGTTCAGGGAATCCACACGCCATGGCCTCCCAGAGTGCTGAGATCATAGGTGTGAGCCACTGTGCCTGGCCACTTTTACTATTAATTTCAGGTTATGAAAAGGCAAATATACCGGGTGAGGTGCATGTGAGGAGGACAAGGGGTTTGTGAATTGGGCACGGGAAGCTGCACTGCCTGGAAGTCCAGGTGTGACACAGAGCGAACAATGGGTGTGAGACCCACAGTGTCCCACTGCAGGGCTGGACGGGAGCCATGGCCAGTGCTCAGGGGAGGAAGTGGTCTCTGGGTCCAGGCCTGGCCAGTGGGTCCCTCAGCCAGAGCCACAGAGAACTGTGCACACTGTGTGACTCTCTTCAATGCACACTTTGCTCTCTGTTTAAAGAGAATACCGTGTCCAAGATGGAAAGATCTTCGTCCCCTTGAACATCACTGTGCAGGGTGATGTGGTTGTTGCCATGTACCATCTGAGGTCCACCATTGGGAGCCGGCTGCAGGCGAAGGTATGATCTCGGAGGGGTCACAGTATAAACTCGTCTGAGTCTTTAGAAGGAATATTTCTGAATCTTCCCTCCAAATGAGAAAGAGCCGTTACAGATTGCTGTGTTCAACTCCTTTATCTTACATGAGAGGAACCGAGACCCAGGGAGCCCGTGATTTCCCAAAGTCCTTAGCGCGGCCACTGCCAGCAGGTGGCAGCCCCTTGACCTTCAGCAAACCCTGTTCTTCAGAAGCTCCAGCATTTGTCATCCTGTCCTGCTGGGTCAGCGTAAGGGGGCAGAGTTCTACTAAGAATGGGGGATTAAATAATTTCTGTTCAGTATTTTATTGAGATAAAATCCACATAACATAAAAGTCCCCCCTTTAAAGTATATGATGCGTAGTTTTTAGTGTATTCAGAGAGTTTTGCAGTGGTCACCACTATCTATTTTCCAAGCATTTTTGTGAGCCCCATGGGAGCCCAGTACTGGTCAGCAGTCCCTGCCCGCTCCTCCTGCCCCCACCACTGCTTGTCCATTTTCTGTCTCTGTGGATTTGTTAGATTTCACGTAGTAGAATCACGCAATACGCAGTCATCTGTGGCTTCTCTCACTCAGCGGGATGTTTTCGAGGCTCAGCATGGAGTGGCATGTGCCCGTGTGTGACCCGTATGTGGACAAGTCACTTTCCATCACACGGCAGCATCACATAGTATTAATCTCTCCTTCAGTGGGTGAACATTTGGACTATTGCCACTTTTGACTGTTAGAAGTAATGTTGCAAGTGACATTGTGAATATTTTAATTCATCAAATATTTGCTAAGTATGGGCTTTGTGCCTGCCATTGTCTAGGTGTTGGGGGTTGACAGGAATAAGACTTTTTGCTATGAAGAAATTCATTCTCATGAGCAGAATCACACAGGGACAGATATGCATGATACTGTCACAGGGGGGACAAGGGCAGTTTGTTTTAGCCAGCGTGGCCCAGAGGGCTGCAGGGAGGATGTGGCCTTTCCAAGTGGGCTTCAAAGGGCTAGCTCCTTGGGCCGGCAGGGCCTTCCACGCCAAGGAATGTAATGAGCCAAAGTCCAGCACCATGCAAAGCAAGAGACGGTTGTGGATGAGGACATGGCTTGCCCAGGTGGAGGTTGGAAATGGAGCTGAGCCTGTTCTAGGTGGGAGGTTGTTTCATATTCACGGTAAACAAAGATTCAGATGTAGAAACAGCGGAAGGGGCCTGCCTCCCAGACGTGATCTTTTGGTCAGATTCCCTTTGCCCTGCTCAGTGCCGATGTGCTCCCTGTGTGTTTCTAGGTGACCAACACGCAGATATTCCAGCTCCAGTTCCACACCGGCTTCATACCCCCGGACACCACCGTGTTAAAGTTCACCAAGTAAGTGCTGCTTGGGCCGGGGTCTGGCTCCCCCAGTGCAGCGGGACATGAGGAGGCTGTGGTTGTGCTGCGGTGTCCCAGGACCCTGTCCTGCCCACAGGGTGTGCCACAGACTGGCTGGATGCACGAGAATCTGTCAGCTGGGCATGGCTCATCTTCAGAAGCACAAACAGATGACAGACTTGTAATAGAAAGGTCTGAAATCCCCTGTGAGGAGACGAGAGTGGATGGAGAGGAGCCCGGCACACTGTGCATCTGGTGTCCCCTCATGTTTCCAGCAGGGACGACAGCATGGCCAGTGCTGTGGCAGGAGCAGTGACCACCAGAGTGGATGCCCAGCCATGGCACTGAAGCAGAGTCTGGAGAATCCATCTGCTAGATGTGTGCTCTAGGAAGTTAGGGGGTGGCTTGAGCCAGGGAGATAGTGCAGGCTGCTGGGACCAGAATGGGGGGAGAGATGGTCAAGGGCTCAAGATGGTAGCTGTGGTCCTTTTTCACTATTTTGACAACCAATTGGACCATGGCAGTGCAGACCAGCTCACCCATCAGCCCTGCTCGCTTCTTACTTTTTTTCTTTTCTTTTCCTTCCCCCTTCCCTCTTTCTTTCTCTCTGGCTTTCTCTTTTAGGATAGGGTCTCACTCTGTCACTCTTGGTAGAGTGCTGTGTCATCATAGCTCACAGCAACCTCAAACTCTGGGGTTCAAGTGATCCTCCTGCCTCAGCCTCCCAAGTAGCTAAGACTACAGGCACCTGCCACACCACTGGGCTAGTTTTTCTATCTTTAGTAGAGACAGGGTCTTGCTCTTGCTCAGGCTGGTCTTGAACTCCTGAGCTGAAGGGATCTTCCTGCCTCAGCTTGTCAAGGTGCTGGGATCGTAGACGTGGCCCACCAGGCCTGATCAACTCTGCTTTCTAGATGCGGTAGCATCCAGAGTATTTTTTTAATTTCATTTATTTTTATTTATTTTCTCCCCTCACTTTTCAACTTGACTAATTCTTTGAGCAGGGATTAGTCTCCTTTTTCTTCACATGAGGAATCTGAAGCTCAGAAAAGTAAAGTAACTTACCTGGGTATGAGTGAGTCTTCCTGAGCCCGTGTCTCAGCACTGCCCTAAGAGTGAGCCTACTGCACTTTCTGTGCTGAACACCCTGTTGATGTCACTGTTTTTCACTAACCTTGTTATTTTTAAATCCCTCTGTAGGCCGGAGTTAGATGCTTGTGACGTACCAGAAAAATACCCTCAGCTGTTTCAGGTGACGCTGGACGTGGAGCTGCAGCCCCATGACAAAGTCACAGACCTGACCCCGCCCTGGGAGCATCACTGCGCTAAGGACGTCAACCCCAGCGTCCTCTTCTCTTCTCACCAGGAGCACCAGGACACGGTGGCCCTAGGAGGTAGGCTCCATCAGGACGGGCCCCTGCTCCTGCCACGCTGACCGACCTCTGTGTTTCATGGACGCCGCTCGGCCTTTTCTCTTCCAGGACAGGCTCCAATAGACATCCCTCCAGACAACCCCAGGCATTTCGGGCAAGGCGGTTTCTTTGCCTCTCTCTGTTGGCAAGGTACTTACAAGCTTTTCTTCAAGTTACCAGTACCTGGTTTGATGGTTAAATTGCATGGTTCTGCTATAAAAATGGCTAGCCCTGGAAGCAGCCTGGAGCAGGGCACCTCAGTAAGTCAGTGCTCATCTCATACCCTGCCCACTTGTTCCTTTTTCAAATCAGTCTTCTTATGCACTGTGGTCTCGTGGGTGCCCTGATGCTTGTGCAGAAGCCACCGTGTGCTGAGTTCTAGCTGTGCTCTCTGCACTGTGTTTGGGGTCGCGTTTTTCCTGGACTGACAAATAAATGAATTTTCCAGGATTTCCTTTAGGCTCTTGACAATGCAGAGAGATTGACAAAGGAGTCTGTCTCCTGGCCTTAACTGAGTATTCTAAAATATAATATTTGGTGTTTCTTGAGAGAGCAGCAGGACAAGCGAGCATTCTCTGTGCAGAGCACGGGCTTGGCCCGTGTGTCTCTGCCACCTGCCGGAACAACCACAGCAGAATCAGGGCTCTCACTGGATCAGATGTTTTCAGACTTTTTCTCACTGTAACACTTCAGCTGCTACCGTCGGTGCACTGGGTACACCCCAGTCAACACCCATTGGCCATCTTTGCTTTAGCATTGTTGGAGGTTAACTCCGAGGTTCAATGTAGAATTGAGTTGTTGGGACTTTCTGAATGGAATGGGTGGGAGACTGGCTTTGGAGATGGTTTATTTGAAATCTCCTGGCAGGCTTTCCTCTGACATCTGAATTTAACTCCTGTTGACTCCAGAAGTTCCCAGTGTTTGATGAAATGATTGCTCATAAAATGCCTCTGAATTGAAAGGCTTACTGTTGTAATTTTCTTTTGAGAATTGGAATTAGCAGCTTCTCAAACTTGAGAACCCAGTGCTCTCTGTAAGGCAGTAGACTTCTCAGCCCCTCTTGGTCTCCTTTACCTCTTATCTTTCTCACAGTAATGGGTTTTAATAAAACTTCACTCTTACCTTTTCACTGACATTTTAGGGGGTCTGAGATTGGATTTTGTTTTGCTCTGTTGCCCAGGCTGGAGTGCAGTGGTGCAGTCATAGGTCACTGCAGGCTTCAACTCCTGGGCTCAAGCAATCCTCCTGCCTCAGCCTCCCTAGTAGCAGGAACTATAGGTGCCCACCACCATGCCTGGCTAAACTTGTTTTTCTGTAGAGACGATGTCTTACTATGTTGCCCAGGCTGGTCTTGAACTCCCAGCCTTAGGCAATCCTCCTACATCAGCCTCCCACAGTCCCACTCTCAGCCTGAAGTAGGTTTCAGCACAGATGCAGTCTTTTATCTGAATCTCTCAGTGCTGCTGTGTTTAAGAATGCAGAAATTTTTGGATTTTAAAAAGGTGATACAGTACATAAATCCTATCTTAATATCCTCAGTAGTATCTCAGACAACAACCTATAATCAAATATGTTAATATTTCTGCAGTGGACATATAAATAATAATCCCGAGTGAGAGAAATGAAGATTCTAAGCATGTTCACATCTGTTCTGATCAGTTTTATGCCAACTGAGTTTATGCTAAACATAGGAAAGCCTTTCCCAGACATTAAATAACCAATTTTGATGGAAAGGTCTGTGCCAAGGCAGGGCTGGAAATCACTATTTCCTGCAGAGGCCTCCCTCCTGCTGCTGAAGTCACATTCAGGCTGGGTGAGGACGTGGGCGCAGAGTCACACTCTACAGTCACTAGGTGTGGTCATTGCTGCTGCAGACAGGGGACGAAAGGCTGCTCTTTTGGCTGTGGGACACCTGGAGAGTCAAGGGCAGTGAGAGGTCTCAGCAGAGGACTAGCAGACAATAGTTTCCCTAAAACCTAGGATAGAGCCTGAAAAAAAATAGTGAAAGTCAACTTGTAGGCACTACTTACTATTGGTCTGAACAATTTATAATAATCTTATATAATTCTCAGTAGCCCGTGAGTTAGGTACTAGTTATGACCCCATTTTGCTGACAAGGAAACCGAGGCTCAGAGAAGTAAAGTCACTTGCCAGTGTCTGGGAGCCAGTGGAGCTGTGGCCAGTCCAGGCTGCCTGGCTCCTGTCCCCTGCTCTTCACCACCATGCTAGACGGCCTCTCGGATTCTCAGCACCTTGGAAAACACCTCTGGTTTCCCATCTCTCAGGCTGACCCCTTCTCTCTCTTTCTGCAAGAATATTATGCTTCTCATAACAAAGCCTGCAATGCTGTGGTCAGTAACTAACCATGTGGGGGCGCTGGCTTTCCTCAGATCAGAAATCGGAGAAGTCGTTCTGTGAAGAAGACCACGCTGCCCTGGTGAATCAGGAGAGTGAGCAATCAGACGATGAGCTTCTGACCCTTTCCAGTCCTCATGGCAATGCCAATGGTGACAAGCCTCGTGGGGCCAAGAAGCCTAGCAAAAAGCAGCCAGAGCCAGCCGCCCCTCCGCCCCCTGAGGATGTGGACCTGCTGGGCCTGGAAGCCTCTGGAGTGAGTACGAACTTCTCTGCACCGGCGGCTCCTCCCACCAATTCCGAACTACTCAGTGACCTGTTTGGGGGCACAGGTGCAGCTGGCCCTGCCCAGGCTGGACAGTCAGGGCTGGAAGATGTGTTCCATCCCAGCAGACCAGCTTCCACCCAGTCAACACCACGCCGCTCTGCTGCCTCTGCCTCGGCGTCCCCGACCTTACGTGTAGGAGAAGGTAATGGCTTCCATGTTGAATTTTAGCCTTTGGGCTAAACCGGTGGAATTAAACTTTCCTAAAAGCCAGACTTTCCTGGTTTCCCTGAAAGCTTTTGAGAGGTCTATGTCTTCATTAAACAGAGAGTACAAGAGAAAATAGAAATACAGTCCAGAACAGAGATACGGCAGGAAGGGTGAATGAGGCTGGACGATTGAGCTCCACACTCTAGTTATTTTCCTTTTTTTCAGGATGTCAGTGCCTGAGCTGCTTCACTTACTTCTGCTTGGAGACACACATCAGTGAATTATTATCTATAATAGCAGCTGATATTTATGGGGGACTTTGCCAGACATGCAATTGAACACTAAACATGATTTAATTTTTATAAAAACCCAATAAATAAGTGCTATCTCATCCCCACTGTATTTGAGGAAATAGGGGCTTAAGTTAAATTAGCAGCACAAGTGTAGGTGACCAGAAGTTGATGGGGCTTGGGCTCAAAACCAGGTCCCTGGAGTCCAGAGCTTCCCTTGGGTCCCTGAGTGCCTTCCTGGAACTGTAGTCTTCTAAGTGGGCATTGGCTGTGAGGAGAAGCACTTGGCTATTTCAGAGCACATTTCAGTGACTCTCACCATCAGTGCAACTGCCTGGAACAGAGCAGTGGCCTCAGCCGGGGAGCTGGAGCCCTGGGCTCTGTTAGTCTCTCTGCCCATCACCACAGGCTCACCATTTCTGCACTGTCCAGCCACGGTGATGGGACATTTGCAAGACAGTGTAGCTAGGTCAGCAGAAATCCATTACAGCTTCCAAAGAACCCCCTCAAATCAACTATCCCAGGCTGTTGTCACCACTGGCTGAGGACAGCACATTGGGGAGGATAAAGAGCAATGACCCCACTCCTCAGGCCTGTCACGCCCTGTGGGACTTTTTTCCTCCAGCATACATGTCCCTTCAAGGAAGGCTCTGGGCTGCTCTGAGGCTTCCTTGTGCCTGAGGGGCTCACAGTCAGGGCACAGGCACGGAGGCTCAAGCTCCTGCATTAACTGCTGTGAAGCCTGAGTGAGAGCTCAGACACCCTGAACTCTGCACCAGGGCTGCCTTCTCCATACTCACTGCCTTCCACCTGTTTCACCCAACTGAGAAAGCTCCGTCAGAGACAAAAAAGTCCCCTAGATTCAAGATAACCTCTGGATAACTAACTGGATGTTAGTGTTTTATTTTTATTTATTTTATTAAATCATAGCTATGTACATTAATGCAATAATGGGATAAAATGTGCTGGTTTTATGTATAATTTGAAATATTTTCATCAAACTGGTTAACAGAGCCTTTACCGCATTTCCTTAGTTATTGTGTTAAGACATTTATATTCTACACTTAGTAAATTTAACATGTATCTTTGTAAGATGCACCGTAGGTGTGGTCCCATCACTTACCCTCCCTCCACCCATTCTCCCCTCTTCCCTCCCTATCCCCTTTCCCCTTCTTCTTGGGCTATAATTGGGTTATAGCTTTCATAAGAAAGCTATAAATTGATTTCATAGTAAGACTGAGTACATTGGATACTTTTTCTTCCATTCTTGAGATCCTTTGCTAAGAAGAATATGTTCCAGCTCCATCCATGTAAACATGAAAGAGGTAAAGTCTCCATCTTTTTTAAGGCTGCATAATATTCCATAGTGTACATATGCCATAATTTATTAACCCATTCGTGGGTCGATGGGCACTGGGGCTTCTTCCATGACTTAGAAATTATGAATTGGGGTGCAATAAACATTCTGGTGCAATTATCTTTGTTATAAAGTGATTTTTGGTCTTCTAGATATATACCTAGTAGAGGAATTGTAAGATCGAATGGCAGGGCTATTTTTAGATCCCTAAGTGATCTCCAAACATCTTTCCAAAAGTGACGTATTAGTTTGCATTCCCACCAGCAGTGGAGAAGTGTTCCCTTTTCTCCACATCCATGCCAACATCTATGGTTTGGGGATTTTGTGATGTGGGCTAATCTTACTGGAGTTAGATGATATCTCAAAGTGGTTTTGATTTGCTTTTCTCTGATGATTAAGGATGATGAGCATTTTTTCGTGTTTCTGTAGGCCATGCAGAAACGTTTCTGTTCAAGTCTCTTGCCCACCCTGAGAGGGGATGACTTGTTCTTTGCTTGCTAATATGTTTGAGTTCTCTGTAGATTCTGGTTATTAAACCTTTGTCAGAGACATAACCTGCAAATATCTTCTCCCATTCTGAGGGCTCTCTGCTTGCTTTACTTACTGTGTTTTTGGCTGTGCAGAAGCTTTTTAGTTTGGTCAGATCCCAGTAATGTATTTTTGGTGTTGCTTCAATTGCTCAGGAGGTCCTCCTCATAAAATATTCTCCCAGGCTGATTTCTTCAAGTGTTTCCATGCATGTTCTTCTAGTATTATTAGTTTCATGTCTTAAGTTTAAATCTTTAATCCAGTGAGAGTCTATCTTAGTTAATGGTGAAAGATGTGGGTCCAGTTTCAGTCTTCTACAGGTTGCCAGCCAGTTCATCCAGCACCATTTGTTAAGTAGGGAATCTTTTCCCTATTGAATGTTTTTAATTGGCTTATCAAAGATCAAGTAAGGTAAGTAGCTGGGTTCATCTCTTGGTTCTCTATTCTGTTCCATACATCTACCTCTCTGTTTTTGTGCCAGTACCTTGCTGTTTTGATCACTATCCATTTATAGTATAGTCTGAGGTCTGGTAGCGTGATTCCTCCTGCTTTGTTTTTATTTCTGAGTAATGTCTTGGCTATTTGAGGATTTTTCTGATTCTATATAAAACAAAGTATTCTTTTTTCGAGATCTTTAAAGTATGACAGTAGAGCTTTAATAGGGATTGCATTAAAATTCTATATTGCTTTGGGTAATATGTACATTTTAACAATGTTGATTCTTCCCAGCCATGAGCATGGTATGATTTTCCATTTGTTAACATCTTTAGCTATTTTCTTACAGTTTCATAGTTCTCTTTATAGAGATCTTTCATGTCTTTTGTTAGGTAAACTCCCAAATATTTCATCTTCCTTAGCACTACTGTAATGGAATAGAGTCCTTGACTGTTTTTTCATCTTGACTATTGTTGGTATATGTAAAGGCTACAGATTTATGAGTGTTGATTTTGTAACCTGAGACACTGCTGTATTCTTTGATCACTTCTAAGAGTTGGTATTTTATACAATCATATCATCTGTGAAGAGTGAAAGTTTGATCTCCTCTGACCCTATATGGATACCCTTGATCGCCTTCTCTTGCCTAATTGCAGTGGCTAAGACTTCCATTACAATGTTAAAAAGCAGTAGAGACAATGGGCAACCTTGCTTGGTTCCTTATCTGAGTGGAAATGATTTCAGTTTAACTCCATTCAATATGATGTTGGCTCTGGGTTTGCTGTAGATGGCCTCTATCAGTTTAAGAAATGTCCCTTTTATACCAGTTTTCTTAAGTGTTCTGATTATGAATGGATGCTGGATATTATCAAAAGCTTTTTCTGCATCAGTTGAGAGAATCATATGGTCTTTGTTTTTTATTTTGTTTATGTGCTGAATTACATTTATAGATTTACATATATTGAACCAGCCTTTAGACCCTGGGATAAAATCCACTTGGTCATGGTGTATAATTTGATGTGTTGCTGGATTCTGTTTGCTAGGATCTTGTTAAATATTTTTGCATCAAAATTCATTAGTGATATTGGTCTATAATTTTCTTTTCTTGTTTGGTCTTTTCCTGGTTTGGGGATCAAGGTGATTTTTGCTTCGTAGAATGTGTTGGGTAGTATTCCTTCTTTTTCTATATTTTGGAAAAATATAGGTACTAGTTCCTCTTTAAGGGTTTGGTAGAATTCTGATGTGAAGCCATCTGGTCTTGGGCTTTTCTTTTTAGGGAGATTTTGTATAGTTGATGCTACTTCAGAACTTGATATAGGCCTGTTCAACATTTCCACTGCATTCTGGCTAAGTCTAGGAAGGTTGTGTGCTTCCAAGTATTGGTTTATTTCCTTCAAATTTTCATATTTCTGAGAATAGAGTTTCTTGTAATATTCATTAAGGACTTTTTGAATTTCTGAGGAGTCTGTTGTTATTTCATCTTTGCCATTTCTGATTGATGAAATTAAGAGATTTTGCTCTTTTTTTCCTGGTTAGGTTAGCTAAAGGTTTATCTATTTTATTGACCTTTTCAAAAAATCAACTTTTTGATTTATTGATCTGTTGCATAATCCTTTTGTTTTCAATTTTTTAAAATTTTGCTCTAATTTGGGTTATTTCTTTTCTTCTTCTGGGTTTGGGATTGGAATGTTCTTCCTTTTCCAGTTGCTTGAGATGTCCCATTAAGTATATTCTTAAGTATTCTTATTTTGTTCTCTTGAAGAAGGCTTGCAGTGTTATAAATTTCCCTCTTAGGACTGTGTTTGCAGTATCCCAGAAGTTCTGACAATTCGTGTCTTCATTGTCATTTGTTCTAAAAATTTGGTAGTTTCCTTCTTGATCTTGTCTCTGACCCAGCTATCATTAAACATAAGGTTATTTAGTTTCCATGTTTTTGTATGAGTCTCCAGATTCCTGTTGTTATTAAGTTCAACTTTTATTCCACGATGGTCTGAGAAAATGCAAGGAATGATTTCTATTCTTTTAAATATGCTGAGGTTAGAGTTGTAACCTAAGATGTGATCAATTTTGGAGGATGTTCCATGGGCTGATGAGAAGAATGTGTATTCATTTTTGTTAGGATGAAAGGTTCTGTAGATGTCTATTAAATCTAATTGTTGAATGGTTAAGTTTAAGTCTAAAATTTCTTTGCTTAGCTTCTTATTCGAAGATCTATCCAACACTGCCAAAGGAGTGTTAAAATCTCCAACTATTATGGTGCTGGAGGAAATCAAGTTGCTCATGTCTGTTAGAATCTCTCTTATAAATTGAGGCACATTGTGGTTGAGTGCATAAATGTTAATAATTGAAATCTCATCGTGTTGAGTGTTTCCCTTAACAAATATGAAGTGTCCCTCCTTATCTTTTCTTACTTTTATTGTTTTAAAGCCTATTGTATCTGCAAATAAAATTGCAACACCTGCTTCTTTCTGATTTCCATTTGCCTGAAATATAGATGATCATCCCTTCACCATGAGTCTATATTTATCCTTTAAGATGAAATTCTTGTATGCAGCAGCAGATATCTGGCCTGAGTTTTTATATCCAGTTAGCCAACTTGTGCCTCTTTAGAGGACAATTTAAACCATTCACATTAATTGAGAATATTGATTCGCTTGGTAGAATTTTGGGTATTGAGTTTTTTGAAAGTCCAGTGGACATTTTTAATCCTTTCGCCACTGTGGACGTTGGAATTTGATCAAAAGTTTCTGAGTGAGTTTACTTCCGTGGTAGAGGATTGCACTGGTCATTAGGGAGGTTAGGTCTGAGAATATCCTGGAGATCTGGTTGTCTTATGGCAAATTTCTTCAACATGTGAATGTCATTAATGTATTTAATTTCTCCATCATAAATGAAACTCAGGTTAGCTGGATACAGGATCCTAGGTTGAAAGTTATTTTGTTTTAGGAGATTAAAAGTTGATGACCACCCTCTTCTAGCTTGAAAGGTTTCAGCAGAGAGATCTGTGGTCATTCTAATATTCTTTCCCTTGTAGGTTATGGTTTTTCTTACATCTGGCTGCTTGCAGAATTTTCTTCTTCATATTAACTTTGACGAAGTTAATTATAATCTGTCTTGGAGATGTCTTATTTGGGTTTAGTCATGCTGGGGTTCTGAAACTCTCTGCTATTTGAATTTCAGAATGTCTTGGCAAGTCTGGGAAGTTCTCCTCGATTATCTCATGGAGTAGAACATCTGTGCCTTTCAAAGCAACCTCGTAACCTTCAGGAATTCCTATCAGGCAAATATTAATTTTCTTCAAATTATCCCAGAGCTCTCTGAGAGAATGATCCATTTTTGCTCTCTACTTCTCTTCCTCTTTGGGCATTTGGGAGCATTCAAAAGCTTTGTCTCCAATATCAGAAATCCTTTCTTCTGCCTGTTCCATTCTGTTGTTCACATTTTAAAACTATGTGCCCCCTGTGACTGCTGATTTTGCTCATCACAGTTCCAGGCTGCATCCTGGTGCCAGATCACAAAGGGGTGTCTGCACCAGTCACCTCTGTGCCACAGGGCACAGGCTCAGATACATTGATTGGCCTGTTCTAGGGCACCCAGAAGGCTAGGAGCAGACCTCGGTGCTCCCCAGAAGGAAGCAGAAAGATGCCAAGTCTAGAGTTAAAGACCTGGATTCAAATCCCAGGACCAACTCTTAACTATCGTATAAACTTACTGAAAGATATTAATCTCTGAGTTTGTACAGTGAGGATTGTCATTTCTTATCAGTATTGTTTTAAAGACTGCATTTCAAGCTCTGGTCTTATGGTGTTGAATAGTTTATTATTGGAGAATTCCTTCAATTTAATGTAAATTGATATTTATAATGTGCTCTCAGTGATGGTGAGAAGGAAGAAAGCTAGTTAGCAGATAAATCCCACCTTAAGACTCAGGCAGGATATAGGGTTTAATGCATTTCTAGCTATAGTTTCTCTGTATAATGCTCTCCTACACCTGCTGGCTGTGAGACATTTTGGGTGTGGTTTATCCAGCAGATAAATCCAGACTACTCCTCCATCCACAGAGGTGGGCTGTTCCTGTGTGGTCAGAAATCCTGTGGGTCACTGTGACTTGTGCAGGAAGTTTCAGGCCCAGGATAGGCCCAAAGCAGCTAGGAGGCAGGTGTCACCCTGATTTTTCATGTATTTGGGGTAGGGCCAGGCGATTCTGACAGTTCTTTAGTATTTGGTGGATGAATGAATTCTCTGGACAAATAAGTACATTGTCTCCATTGTTTTCCAGGTGCTACCTTCGACCCATTTGCAGCACCTCCCAGACCATCAGGCCAGGACTTGCTGGGCTCCTTCCTGAGCACAGCCGACACGGCCAGTGACCCCTTTCTCCAGCCAACCAGGAGCCCCTCCCCTACACTGCATGGTGAGGAAGCACTTTATACCAGTTCCCACAAAATACCAGCAGGTGCTCAGATAGGAGACCATCATGGAAAATTTGCCTTTTTCTTTTGGAAATTATACTTCACATGAACACAGTTAAAAGCTCTGGGTGTCTTACAAAAAAGATGCCTGCTTAACTTCATCCTGCTTCATGACTGCTTATTTGTTTATTTGACTGCGGAACTCTTTGCATTACAGCTGCATGAACAGCATCATAAATCACTGTTGGTTGTAGGATGTATATCAGTAAGAAAGAAAAAAACACTTCCACTTGTAAATGATTGGAAGATGCATCCTTGAAGAAATATTTGAAACATGGAGAATATAGCTTTTAAATTAACAAAATATATTTGTATTCCACAAAATTAGCAGCCACCAGTCATGTGTGGCTGTTAAGCAGGGCAGATGTGGCTGGTCTGTCTGGGGGTGTCCTCCAAGTAGAGAATATACAGCTGATTCCAACACTCAATACAAAACAGACTGTAAGTGTCTCACTAATGTTCGTTACTTGGTAAAGTAACATTTTGAATATTTTGGGTTAAATAAAATACATTATTGAAATTAATTTCACTAGTATTGTATTACTTTTTAAAATGTGATTATTAGTAAATTTAAAATTACAGCTATAGCCCAAATTACATGTCTGTGCTAGAGACTTAGGTTGTATAAAGAACAGCAATCATGTCCACCTATAAATACAAATGTGTGTCACTTCAGTTGTGTTGGTTGAGACCAGAGCTTCAGTGAGGGATTCGTGGCTTTGAGTTGGAAAACAGTGGCTCATCCTGATGTTGGAAATGGCTGCACATTGTTAACCATATGAGCGGGCGATGTGTTGCTTCAGACAGCCTGAGCTTGTTGGGAAACCAGAGTCAGGGCACCCCAACCTCAGGCAGCCATGACCATGCTGAGGGAGGTGAGCTGTATAGCCCTCAGGGGTGAATTTCACCTGGTCTCTAATCCCAAACCATTCTAAGTGGGTCCACAGGACAACAAACGGGAAACCCACCCTACCCCCCAGTGAGTGGCACTCATTTACGAGAGTCTCCAGATTGGGTGTTGATTACTGGTGGGAGGATGATGCAGGATGTCACTAGGAGCTGTGTCTGCTCACTCACTGACAATGTTGTTTTGCTGAGAATGGCCAGGGCCTGTGTGCCTGTGTGTGCCAAGTGCCTTCCTCTGCCCCATGTTCTCCAGTCCGATCACACTGGCCTCTTTTCTGCTGCGCTGGCTCAGAAGGCTAATCTTGGCATTTTCGTAATTCTTCTGGTGGGGGTGTGTGTTTTAAATCCCACTCGGAAAGTCAGTTCAGTATTAGTATTTTACTTACTGGTTTTTATGGGCAAAACTTAGAGGTGCCTTAGAATGAAATTCTTTCTTATGGCATCTTGTTTCTTATATAGATTTTATAGATGCACAGAATACTTACTTACCAATATTCCTCTGGTATGTTCTGATTCTCTGAAGCTGAACATTCTACTGAATTAGATGTTTGGAATTTGAGAGAGGTCAGAATGACCTGTTTTGAAGCTGCAGCTAGTTTATTTTGAGTAACAACAGACACATCGCTTAGTGGGTGGTGCACAGTTGGTGCCCAGAACTTTTCTGAATAACTCATCATTCTCAATTCATGTCACAGCAGAGGAGACAAAATTTCAGTCTCAGTGGGTCCTGCCTCTAGAAAGCTTGTGGATGCTGAGCTGAGGTGAATACAGTTTAAGTTTTTCCCCTTTTATTATTGCCGCTGACTCTGTGCTAAGTATGAGGGTGGGACACACACATAAGATGGTTCTTGTTCTCAAGGTACTCACAATTGCTCAGTTATTCCTCAAAGTATGTGGACATGGAGGTAGAACAAAGGTGAGCAGGAGCAGAGGCAAATAATCTATGGTTTCTACCAAACTGCACATGAGTAACCACAGGAGGAAGCCGACGTGTGGGGAGGACTCAGAAAGAAGAAGGAAAGGTTGGAGGAGGCCCCACGGGCCTCACGGAGGGCTGGCTTTGTCCTGTGTGGACTAAGGAAGATGGTCCTAAGCTATCTTGTTCTCACTCTTTCTTCTCACCTGCAGCTTCTAGTACACCTGCTGTGAACATTCAGCCAGATGTTTCAGGAGGCTGGGACTGGCACACCAAACCAGGTAAGGTCAGCAGGTTGTGTTTTGTGTACATTTATCCAATTACCGAAGCATAATCTTTAGCCGAGGTAAAGTGAACACCTGCAGGGTGGTGTAGCCTCCCGTGTAATTTGTGTCCTTTTCCTGCTGACTCATATGCTGGAGGGGTGTTTCCCAGTGCTGGCCATGCGCCACGGCACTGCTCATGCCACCCTGTTACCTGCTAAGTCTCATTTCCTGAATGTCTCTCTTGACAACAGAATCAGAGATAGACGTATATATAACGCTACTACTGAGAAACTCTTGGATTCTTTTTTTTTTTTTTTTTTTTGGCAAGTCTATCCCTAAAAAACAGGGATAATATCTTTTATCTCACATAGTTGTCTAAGTTTAAGTAAAGTAACTTATGTGAGAATTTCTTATATCAGTGGATCCTGAATAAGTGTGAATATTCTTCCTTTTTCATGGAGGACTGACTTGAGGGCTGGATTTGTCCGTAACAAGGTCTTTCCCGTGACTTGATGGTGTTTGCTGTCTTCACACCACTGAGGGAGAGAGGAGGGAAGTGGAGAAGGAAGGAAGAGTAGCACACACACACACACAATGCACTTAAAACAGTTACTTTCTGAAGCAGCTACTATTTGCTTTTTTAAAAGATTGTGTCCCCCCACCACGGCACTCTAGGATGGTCACTGTCAGCTGAGCCACTCTGCAGTGTGATGGGCTCTCAGCAGGCCCTTCCCCCACAGTAGCCAGTGACCAGCCCGCTGCAGAGCTACAGCCACACTGGCGACCACACAGCAGCCCCCTCTCCGCCTCCCCCAACTGGGCAGCTTCCCCGCACTGCTCACTGAGTCTTGGAGTCTGACCACTTTTGTGGCCATCTGAGAGAGTCATGCAGTATTTCCCTTCTAGTGACTGGCTTGTTTAATTAGCGTGCTGTCCTCCAGTTTCATCCAAGTTGTAACACGTAACAGAATTTCCTTCCTTTTTTGATTGAAATGTTTTTCAGTTGACAGAATTGCATGTATTTAGCATGTACAACTTGGTATTTCAGAGTGTATATACATTGCGGAGGGATTAGACTGGCCATTTCACAAGTGCATTACCTTACGTAGTTATCGTTGTGGTGAGAACAGTTAGCATCCCCTCTCCCAGCATTTTTCGGGAGTGCGGTATGTCATTGGTAATTGCAGTCACTGTACCGTACAGCTGATGTTGTGAGCTTGCTCCCCCTGGCTGGCTATGATTATGTGTCCCTTAGCCAACGTCTGTCACCAGCCCCTCCCACCCTCCATCCTCTGGTGACTGTCTCTTTGCTCTCTGCTTCTGTAAGATCGACTGTTCTTGCTCCCACCTGTGACTGAGATCTGGGCTGTTTGCCCTCCCTGCCTGGCATGCTTAAGTAACATAACGTCTTCTAGGCTCACCCGTGGAGTTGCAGATGTCAGGAATTACTTCCTTCATGGCTGAATAGTATTCCATGTGTGCATTCACATTTTCTTTACCCCTCTTCCTCTGATGGACACTTAAGTTCATTCCATATGTCAGCTACTGTGACTGCCGAGTGAACATGGGGTGCCGATGTCTGCTCCTGTCTTCGGAGGGTTCAGGTTTATATGTACATCCTCCAGTCGTGGGATTCCTGCATCACATGGTGGCTCTGTTTTCTGTAGTTTAAGGGAACTCGGCATTGTTTCCACACAGGCTGCACTAGCTCCCCTTCCCCCCTGTGTGGAAGGCCCTGTCCCCTGCACTAGCTCCCCTTCCCCCCTGTGTGGAAGGCCCTATCCCCACAGCCTCCCTAGCACTTCACGTCCTGTGTTTTTTTGTCACTCACTTTCTAATAGCAGCGAGGTAACATGTCACTGTGGCTTTGATGTGCATTTCCCTGGCGATTAGTGATGTCAGCATTTTTTCATATATCTGTTGTCCATTTGTTTATCTTTTTTTTGGCCGAGGCTGGGTTTGAACCCACCACCACCGCCGGCATATGGGGCCGGTGCCCTACCCTTTTGAGCCACAGGTGTCACCCCCGTTTGTATATCTTTTTATAAAGCAATGTCTATTTAGGTCTTTGCCCATTTTTTAACTGAGTTTTTTGTTGTTGTTGTTGTTTTTTGCTGCTGAGTCGTTTGAGTTCCTTACATTTCAAATGTGGCCCCTTCTCACGTGATGGTTTGAGGACATTTCCTCTCGTCCTGTGGGCTGTCTCCTCACTCTGTGGATTGTTTGCTCTGTGAAGCTTTTTATGTTCACGTGATCCACTTTGTCAGTTTTTGCATCTGTTATCTGTACCTTTGATGTCTGATTCAGAAATGATGCCCAGACCAAGGGTGTAGGCTTGTCCTTTCGGTTTGCTTCTAGGACTGTCTTAGTTTTGGGTTTTATGTTGAGATCTTCAATCCATTCTAGTTGATTTTTCAGTGTGGTGAGAGATGGTTGGAGTTGACTTTACCTTTGGGGGAGGTGGGGACTTCTTACTCTGCTGCCTTTTTCTCTGTTGGTGTCACCTTTGCTGCAAATAGGTGTTGAGTTTGATACAGTCTTATCTATTTTTCTTTAGTTGCCTTAAATTTTGGTTTCATATTGTTTCCTTTTTTTTTTTTTTAATAAGTGATAAAATGTTGAAGCTCAAAGATGTAAAGTGAGATTCACAAAGTTACTCAGGAACTAGCAGGTCCCATGGGAAGGTGACTTGAGAGATAAAGACTGGAAATAACAGTTGAGACGTGTGGTCGGGACACAGCGTGTGTCCCTTCTGTGTCCTAACAGGATACAGCGTGTGTCCCTTCTGTGTCCTAACAGGATACAGCATGTGTCCCTTCTATGGTGTCCTAACAGTTGAGACGTGTGGCCGGGATACAGCGTGTGTCCCTTCTGTGTCCTAACAGGATACAGCGTGTGTCCCTTCTATGGTGTCCTAACAGTTGAGACGTGTGGCCGGGATACAGCGTGTGTCCCTTCTGTGGTGTCCTAACAGTTGAGACGTGTGGCTGGGATACAGCGTGTGTCCCTTCTGTGTCCTGCCCTTGCTCCAGGCCACTTTCACCCAGGTCAGAGAAACAGGGGCTAGAAACTTCCTACACCTTGCCAAACCCGGTCCTAATTTGCGTTGGAGACACATAAGCACTAGCTCTGGAATTCTGAATTTCAGAACTCAGCTTCAAACAAATGACTCGTTTTCAATGACCTTGTTTCCTTTTCAGGAGGCTTTGGGATGGGAAGCAAGTCGGCTGCCACTAGCCCCACAGGGTCCTCGCATGGGACGCCCACCCACCAAAACAAACCCCAGACGCTGGACCCCTTTGCCGACCTTGGAACTCTAGGTACAAACTCAGCAGATTGATATAAATAACATCTTTGTAGCTACAAAGTCTCAAATCTAAATCTTGGATGCTATTACATGCTGGTATTGTTACTTGGGACCTAAAATAACATGTATTCGTAAGCTGTCCTCAGCCAAACCTGAGATTGGCTTAAAAAAAAAGAGAGAGAGAGAAGCATCAGATATTGGGCTGTAAATCACCTATATTGATTGTTTCCCCAATACCCAACTTTAGATTAATAGCTTGAGTAACAGTAGAGCTTCCAAGAGCACGTGCCAAAGGCGATTGGTAGGGAAACGGCCTGAGATAAGGCTGACATGAGCGGGCTGTGCTACACCATGCTAACCTGCTGCCCTGTCCCCGATGGTGCCTCTGCAACCCTCCCCGATCACCTCCCTGCTCCTCATCCAGCACTGTGCTCTCTGGTCACTGTAAAATTCTGTACAGAAAACAGACTCTTTGTATAGTAATTCCTGAATGTTCTCATCGTGTGTTAATAGTTGTTACCAGATGAGGGTTCTATGAGCCGGGGGCTTGGGAAACCCTGGGTTCAGCAGTTTTAATTACTTTTAACAAGGATGCAGTAACCAGGCTTCCCAAACCTATTTCACCAAGGAGCCTTTTTAAAGAGGAGTTCACTGGACTGCTGTGTTCTAAAATCCTTTCCTCCCTCCTCCAGGGCAGTCCAGAGCTGTTAAGTAAGGATGGGTTAGCCTGAGATTCCCGTTGGCCATGTTGGCCATCTGTGCTCTCAGAAAGCCCTGCAAGATGTGGAGAGCCAGGCTAGTAGTGGAAAAGTGAACACGGCTGCCACCGCCGCTTCCAGGGACAGTGTCAGAGCCTTAATTTCCCTTTCTGCACTCTTTAGACCTCCCGCCCCTTTTAGGAACTCTCGGATGCTTTTACCTGGTATTCTTCTTCCCCACCCTTCTCTGTGTCTTAATGGAAGTGTCAAATTTTAAAGTCATACATAACATCAAGTTAAATTTTACTTAAATAAAATCTCATTCACTGTTTGTATTTTATGCATTTATTCAGCCAACAAACACTTAAGAAGAGCCTTCTATGTGTGACAGGCCTGAGGTTTCCATCACCAGGCAGTCTAGCTCTGGGCTTAGACTTGCAGCCCTCACGCTCAGTGCGGTGGAAACAAAGAGGTGAAGGAGACTGAGGGAGAAGCGGAGATGGCGATGGGTGGGGGGGATGTGACTGTGGATAGCAGGGGGAGGGAAGTCCTCTCCAAGAGGGACCTTCTAGGAAGCTCGCTTTTAAAACCCGACCTCACATGTTGCCCTTAGCTGTCTTTTGAACTTCTATAACTTGGAGTCACTCTTCAGTCCCTCTTTGTCTTTTATGGCACTGATATTCCAAGGGGGCAGACAGGCCAGTTGGCAAGTCTCAGTTTGAGTTTGCTGTTAACTTGCATCACTTGGTTAAGTTCCTTAACTGTAAACTTTTGTAAGTATTCCTTTTGTAAGTAATCCAAGGTAGATGTTTTGAGACTATCCTGTTTGAGAAAATCCAATTTGAGAATATTCTATTTTCTGTCTAGCTTTTACCCAGTAGTTTTAGCATTCATTAATGCTAAGTTATTACTATGCTGCTTTCAAAGTGATGGTTTCTTCCCTCCTTCCTTCCTCCCCCTCACCGTTCCCTCTCCCTGGCTAGAGTGCAGAGGCATCAGCATAGCTCACCGCAACCTCAAACTCCTGGGCTCGTCCTCCTGCCTTGGCCTCCCAAATGCTGGGATTACAGACCTGAGGCACCACACCCTCCTGCTGGGCTAGGATGGTGACTGTCTGAACCTGGAGATGGTGGAAGAGCCACCTGGTGTTTGACAGAGGAAACCAGTAGACCCTGTAAACGGGTTAAAAGGAAACTAGGAGAGGGAATTTGATCTCTTTCAGACATGAATGAGTTCTTAGAAATGCCTAGAGGCTGGTGGAGCTAAGGGTGGGAAGGGGGAGTATTCAGTCCCTCCAGGCAATGGTTTCCCACCCTGGAGCATTAATGCTCCCATTTAGTAGGTATTTTTGAGTATTTACTACACTGTAGGCTTTCAGGATGTAATTGAAAACATCAAGGCAGATAGCATACCTGCTCCTTGGAACTTGCAAACATAATGGGAGAGAGCAGCCTTAATCAAACCTAAAACACCAGCTACTGCAGGCGCTGCAGAGAGAAGGCCTCCAAACAAGAGCTCACAGGTAATCCTGCGCAGTCCAGGTTGGGAGGCAGCGTCAGCTTCTAATGAGGACAGCAGTGGCCTCTGGGCTTAGCTGCTGCCTCATGTTACTGTCGGTTCTCTGCTTCAACAGCACAAATGATTAGAATTGCTGATGACGAGTAGGAAGTGCTCTGGAGTGTAGACGTCAGAAAGCCCTCCAGTGTCGCAGAGGCCACGAGAGCAGGGTCAGTGTGGGCCTTGCCACCACCCTGTCTGCAGCCTGGCAGGTGGCACAGTGTTCCATGAGTGAATGGATGCATGGTGGTGTGGCAGGAATATGAAGGGTGTGGGTTTTATTTTTAATTCGTTAGCCTTTTTTATGTTTACTAAATTTTAAAATAATAAATACATATATTTAGAACAAAGTAAGTGTCCTTAAATATAGAATGAAACCTCAGAGCAGATTGAGTGCCCAGCCCCAGGTATGAGTTGACGTGGTTTTGGGGGGATGTTCCCAGGGACACACAAAGAAGGGCTTCAGGGTACGAGTGGTGGAGCTCATAGTAGGTGCTCAGCCAGCACCGTGACTGCGTGCATGAGGGAACAGAGAGTGGGGACAGCACTGACCCCAGCTCAGATGGACCATGATGAAACATTCCCCAAAGGGATGGAGAGAGGAGCTCCAGCATCAGAATAAGAAGAAAGGACAGGAGGGCATGAGTTGTAGTGAAAGACTCAGAGATTTAGGAGGAATTGGGGATTGTGTGTGCTATTTGGAGGGCTTTGTCAGCTCTGCTGACTGGCTGTGTGATCACGAGCACATCAGCAAACCTCTCTGGGCCTTCATCTCCTCTTCACAGTGATCGCCTCCTGATAGGTCAACAGCAATGTACATAAGCATATGCTATAAACTCCAACAAGCTGTATAAATGCCACTTGTTATACTAACACCATTACTCTGGACTGACTGCATGAAAGGGGCCTCGAAAGTTGCATTTTGATTCTTCATTTTGCCTCTTTAAGAACAAGCCACAGCTGGTGTTCATATTTTTGAAATAGCCTAGCACGTACGCAGTGAGTGCTTAAAAGTTAGGAGATTGTGAAATGAGGATTCTGCTTAAATTCCTGGGACAAAGTAACATGGTTCTTTTTAAGTTTGAATGGAATCCTTTGTCCTGTTCAAAGTTGTCAGAATGTTGGCTGGTTTTGCTCTCCTGCAATGAAAGGGAAGAATTGATAGTGTGCAATTGAAACTTTAGAAATTTCATGACATCTTTGTTCACACTGGTCACTAAATATGCCTGTCCTTACGACACACTAGGATTAATCCCGAGGTTCCGGGGCATGTTAGTGAGCCAGCTTACTTTGTCCTATTCCCATTCTAGCCAGGTAGTAGTTTTTGTCCTAGTGAAGAAATAGAAGCTGCCTAGTAGGGTCTGGGCTCAAGTCCCGGCTCTGCCACTTGCCTTTAGGAAAATCACATAACTACTCTGACCTTTAGTGTGTTCACTTGAAGAAAAGATGAGACCGCTGTTAACATACACCCTAAAATGTTACTGCAGGGATCAGGGAAATGACAAATATGCCTGCAGTTTGTTTGCCTATCAGGAAGGGTGATTGTGCTGTGGTCAAGGAAATTTCCACCAAAGTCACTGCAAATAGTATCTTGAGACACGAGAGTTAGGGGCCACTCCTAGTAACCTCACCTCCTTTCTCCCTTTTTTTTTTTTTTCTGTAGGTAGTTCTTCATTTGCCAGCAAACCCACCACACCAACTGCACTGGGTGGAGGATTCCCGCCTCTCAGCTCGCCGCAGAAAGCATCTCCCCAGCCTGGGGGTGGTGGGTGGCAGCAGGGAGGTGGCTATGCTTGGCAGCAGCCACAGCCAAAGCCGCAGCCTGGCGCACCCCACGCCTCTCCCCAGAACCGTCCCAACTACAATGTGAGCTTCTCGGCTGCACCTGGGGGCCAGAGCGAGCGTGGGAAAGGATCAACCACTTCAGGTGAGGATGAGGGGAGGGGGCCGGCTATATAGGGTGGCCTCCAGCAGTGCTGTCTCTGCCCACATTTAACCGTCTGAAGAAGGCAAAAAACAGTCCCAGTGGTTTGGGGCAATCTTACTGCTGTAGGGATGCACTCTGACTCTGTCCCTTGGTGCTGTGTCTGGAGCATCCTGGGCTGACTGTGCTCCTAACATTTGTCCTGTTCTGTGACTACTTTCTCGTTCACCTGTTACTTTCTCTCCAGACTAGAGCCAGGTAGAAGGCAGAGGCTGTGTTCTGCCTGCCATCATTAGCAGGCTGTGGCCTGCCTGGCACTTCATTATTAGTGCCAAGCACAGTGCTTGGTCAGAGTAAGTGCTACATGAACTTTGAAGGGATGTGGGCAGGGAGGTGGGGAGGAGGTAGGGCTGTGATTCCTTTGGGAGAGGGTATGGGAGAAGAATGGTGAGGACCTTTCAAGCACTGTGCTCAGATTTGCCCTCGGATCCCAGAGAGCAGAGCATGTGCTTGGACATTTTGTCTTTGGTAGGCACACTTCACAGGTGTCACCACCGGAGGCTGGAGGACACTCTGGATGGGATTCTTGACAATGAGCAAAGAAAATTGCACGTGTTTGCATAACAGGGATGGTTAGAATCAAGTTTATTTATTAAAAGCCTGTCTATGCGTTTTACACTTTAGTTGATTAATCCGCTCCCGACAATGAAATATACAGGAATACAAGCAGGAAATGTGGAAGAAGCACTCCTCCTCTTCCTGGTAGAGAAGCTGCATTTACTGAGGGCTCACCACACGGCCAGGTGCTCTGCTGAGTGCTTTCTAGTCAAACCCCTCATCTGAGGTTTTACCTTCTGCAGTTACCCTTGGTCAATGATGAAATCTTGTGATGAAATTTCCCGCCATCCTACTCTGTCTTGCCTGGATGCAAGTCATCCCTCTGTCCAGAGGATCTGTTGCGTCTGCCCCCCACCGTTACTCTCTCAGTAGCTGTGATGCATGTAGGGTCCAGCATTATCTGTGGTGTCAAGCATCTACTAGGTCTTAGGATGTGTCCTCCATGGCTAAGGGGACCTGTATCATCTTGTGCATCAAAACCAGCCCCATGTGTGGATGGGGATCTGTGGCACTGGCTCAAAGAAGTAATTTCCTAAGTTCCTAAGTGGCTTGTGGGGAACAGAGCGAGGTTGAGCCCTGACAGTCTGGCCCCAACCCTGCTCTCAGCTGCTGCACACTGCTGGTTGTGACTCAAGTGCCATCTCTCAGCACCTGCATGCAGGGATTCTGTTGTCAGGAACACGCAGTGTCCTCTTCATTACTCAGCAGCAGGGTTGATCTGGCACAATTCACAGAATCATATGGCCTCTTCTGTTTATATTTCAAGGTGTGCAGGGAGTGACTTTAATCAGCAAAAATTTCCGAAGCATCTTCAAGCGTGTGTTCAGAATGTCTTAGTACACAGACTACAGATGGATTTCATCTCAGGAACGCATTTCAGTTAATTGGCATCACCTGCATAGATGACTCTGTTTTGCACCTGTTTTGTTTTAATTTAACAGACATGGAGCCAGAAAGCCACCATTCTACACACTTAAAGTCTTCACTCATTTATAACATTACCTCCTAAGTGTATAAGGAGGTAATGTTATTAACTCGATCCCCATTTTACCAGTGAGGAAATTGAGGCATAGAGATGGTGAGCAACTTGCCCAAGGTCAGGTCTCTGAGTGGTGGAGATGGGATTCAAACCTAGAGAGTCCAGATCCGGAGTCTTTGCTTTGTGTCCCCATGTTGAGGCAGGCAGAGAAGGACTATGAGGAGGCAGGAGGACTTGGAGAGAAAGAATCTGGGATTAATTGAGACCTCCAGGCAGCCAGCTGGAGCAAGGAAGCAGTAGCATGTCCAGATTACCTTACAAACGAAGGTTCCACTTCCACTTGGATACCACTTATGGTAGAGCAAGAACTTCAAACGCAGATATTGATTATTTATGCTGGGGCAGGAACTTCCACCTCAGATAATCTCTATTTGCAGTGGGGCAAGAACTTCTACAGCAGATTCTCACTATTTACGGTGGGACAGGGAATTACACCTCAGATATTCACTAATAACAGTGGAGCAAGAAATTTCATCTCAGTCACTCAGTATTTACAGTGGAGCAAGAACTTTCATCTAAGATGCTCAGTATTTACAGTGGAACAGGAACTTTCATCTCAGATGCTCAGTATTTACAGTGGAGCAGGAACTTTCATCTCAGTCACTCAGTATTTACAATGTAACAGGAACTTTCATCTCAGATACTCAGTATATACAGTGGAGCAGGAACTTTCATCTCAGATGTTCAGTATTTACAGTGGAGCAAGAACTTTCATCTCAGATGCTCAGTATTTACAGTGGAACAGGAACTTTCATCTCAGATGCTCAGTATTTACAGTGGAACAGGAACGTTCATCTCAGAAGCTCAGTATTTACAATGTAACAGGAACTTTCATCTCAGATACTCAGTATATACAGTGGAGCAGGACCTTTCATCTCAGATGTTCAGTATTTACAGTGGAACAGGAACGTTCATCTCAGATGCTCAGTATTTACAGTGGAGCAGGAA